CTTTAATAATTTTTTTCCTTCATTTTCTACCATTTTTTCTTATTCTTATCAAACTTTATATTCTCTTTTTTTTTCCTCTCTCTACATCGTCATCTTTTTATTTCTTGGTTTTTATTCGTTTTCTTCCTTTTATTAAATTTTTTTTTTTCATTTGGTTTTGTGTTCTTATTTTTCATTTTTTAATCTTTTGATTTTTCTGACTTTTTTGTTGTTCACATATTCTTCAATTATTTTCTTCTTCTGTTTTGTTTCTTCTGGTTTTCCGTCTTCGTCTTCCAACTTTCGTCTTTTCCTTATGATTATTTATGTTTTTCTTCTTATTTGATATTGTATTCTTCATCATTTTGTATTATCAATCTTTTTCTTTTTTTCAACATCTTATCTATCAGTTTCGTCTTCCTCTTTATTTTCTTTTATTTATGTTTTTTCATCTTCTCATATTTCATATTTTTTCTTTATTGGTTTTTCTCAACATTTTATTTTCCCACTTCTTATTTTGTTCTTCTCCAATGATCTCACCTTCATCTTTTTCTTTTAATTTGATATTCGTTCTCTTCGTCTTTTTGTTTTTCTTCTTCCAATCTTTGTTCTTCAATTTTTTTTTATATCTTCATATCTTCCAGTTCACTATTCTTCTTTTTCTTTCTAATTTTCTTTACATTTTTTTATTTGGTTTCTTCCTCATTCCCCCTCTCTCTATCTTTATCATCTTCATCTTCTCTAACATCATATTAATCTAGTTCTTATTTATCCTTTCTTTGTCTTTTTTTTTCTCTTCACATTTCATTTTTTTTTCTTTGATTTCTTTTTCCTCATGTTCGAGTTTTTTTTTCTTCTCCAAATTTCTCATCTTCTTTTTCTATTGTCGTCTTTTCTTTTACTTGTGTTTTTATTCGTTCTTGTCTACGTCTTGTATTTCACCTATCAATTCATTCCGATAGTTTATATTTTCAAGGATATGTGAAATAGTTTTTTATCTGTATATAGTGGAGATTTTTAAAAATCTGTTGGTTTTGTTAATTTTCCAGTTTGGATTTGCTTTAATCGTTAATTTTTCTATTTATGAATGTAATTTAGAAAGATGGATATAAATTTATAATCAATGAATTTTAATTATGATATTCTTTCATTCAAATTTTTAAAAATGCACCAAAAACTAAACCCTACACCCATCAATATAAACCCTACATCCTAAACCCAAGTCTCAGAGTGCAACACCACCCCTTAAACAACCCTACACCATAAACTCAAACTCCACAGTGTAACAACACCCCCCCCCTCCAAACAACCATATACCATAAACCTAAACCCCACATTATAATTCCCCCCCCCACCCAAACCGCACATCCGGACCCCACATTTTACAAACTGGTTCTAGATTTGCTTTTACTTTACTTTTATTTTTAGTTTTTCTTAAAAGATTTTTTTTTTAATCGGTAGTGTATTATATTCAGAATTTTTAAGTGCATCAAAAACTAAACCTTACGCCAATCAATATAAATCGTACATCATAAAATCCAACCCCATATTATCTTCTTCTTTTGCTTCTTTAATAATTTTTTTCCTTCATTTTCTACCATTTTTTCTTATTCTTATCAAACTTTATATTCTCTTTTTTTTTTCCTCTCTCTTCATTGTCATCTTTTTATTTCTTGGTTTTTATTCGTTTTCTTCCTTTTATTTACAATTTGTTTTTTTCATTTGACTTTGTGTTCTTATTTTTCATTTTTTCATCTTTTGATTTTTCTGACTTCTTTGTTGTTCACATATTCTTCAATTCTTTTCTTCTTCTGTTTTGTTTCTTCTGGTTTTCCGTCTTTGTCTTCCAACTTTCGTCTTTTCCTTATTATTATTCATGATTTTCTTCTATTTGATATTGTATTCTTCATCATTTTGTATTATCAATCTTTTTCTTTTTTTCAACATCTGATTTATCAGTTTCGTCTTCCTCTTTATTTTCTTTTATTTATGTTTTCTAATCTTCTCATATTTCATATTTTTTCTTTATTGGTTTTTCTCAACATTTTATTTCCCCACTTCTTATTTTGTTCTTCTCCAATGATCTCACCTTCTTATTTTTCTTTCAATTTGATATTCGTTCTCATCATCTTTTTCTTTTTGTTCTTCCAATCTTTGTTCTTCAATTTTTTTTATATATCTTCATATCTTCTAGTTCACTATTCTTCTTTTTCTTTCTAATTTTCTTTACATTTTTTTTTTCGGTTTCTTCCTCATTACCCCTCTCTCTATCTTTATCATCTTCGTCTTCTCTAACATCATATTATTCTAGTTTTTATTTATCTCTTCTTTGTCTTTTTTTTCTCTTCACATTTCATTTTATTTTTCTTTGATTTCTTTTTCCTCATATTCGAGTTTTTTTTTCTTCTCCAAATTTCTCATCTTCTTTTCTATTGTCTTCTTTTCTTTTACTTGTGTTTTTATTCGTTCTTGTCTACCCCTTGTATTTCACCTATCAATTCATTCGATAGTTTATATTTTCAAGGATTTGTGAAATAGTTTTTATCTTTATATAGTGGAGATCTTTTAAAAATCTGTTGGTTTTGTTAATTTTCCAGTTTGGATTTGCTTTAATCGTTAATTTTTCTATTTATGAATGTATCTTCGTTTGAGGAGACCCTCGTTAAGGCGTGCCATACTTCTGCTGAGAAGCTACATGCGAAGAACAAATGGCTTCGCGTCTCTACCTGACTTTGATAAAGAACACAAGTCGAGTTTATGCTTGCATTCCAAGATTGAGTGAACCAAACTCCCCTGTACCAACTAAGTATAGGTCCAGTCAATCTCAATTGCAGCCATGTCTTCTTTGAACTGTATAGGGGCTTGTATACATTATTACATTTTCCGAATGTTTCCATAGAGATATGTCTTCTCTTTCATGGTCAGCCCGATTCCGATATGTATTCAGCAGGTTCTCGATCATTCGCAAGTGCTCAGTACGGTGGTTACGACGGCTAGAGAGAGCCTCTGCCACCGTAGCAGTTATGGGTAAACCCACGTGATCCCGTAATATCAAATAAGCACCCCATCGGAGACCAAACATCAAACCTGAATGATGTATTTCGACCATTGTTCACCTCAACTTTGTAGAACTGTTTTGCCTTGTCTCTGTATTTAAGCAGCTTCCTCCAGACCCAAGAACCTGGCCAAGCTTGTGTTTTCCTTTACGGACCAGAAGAAATCTTTTTGGATGAGGTGTGTCTTCACCCAACGAATCCAAAGAGAAGGGTGAGGGTGCCATAACTCAGTTTTAACTGTTTCGGTATGAATTGTTTCACTTCATCGTTTGATAACTCCCAAATTTAAAAAGGAAATCATCGACCTCTTTTATCTTCTTCTCCTTATTCTTGTATCCGACATATTGTTTTCCCACCAGACTTTTCTTGTTTCCCGGATGTGCCATGGATCTGTGGCAATATATTAACAACACACAAGAATAACATAAATCAACAAATACACAAAACCTAAAGCATATTATCTAAGACCTCTTGATCTCCATCTAAATCAAAATTGATTTTCAAGTTCTCTTCTGAAAACTGTTTAAAGACAGTGTTAACCGAAAGAACAAACCAAACAAAAAGATCAACGATAGATAGCAAAGAGCAAAGAGATTTAAGAAAAAGGTTTAGCAAAGAGATAGAGCAATATCATGTGAGATAGATTTATGACTCATTATGTTCACGATCATCACAAGAAACGAAAGTCATACATAAACGAAAGCATGTTGATTTATCTGATACGAATTAGATACCCTAGGTCTGATATTTATATGAGATGTATGTTGTTAGGTCTATGTAACGACTAAAACCAAGTTACATATACCTTAAATAGAAGACATTATAGAGTTGTAGCAACAACAACACCAAAAATCTCTTCCTTGACCTCCCCACTTTCTTTCTACTCCTCACGGTCCATCTCTTCCATTACAAACTCAACCCTAGCACTAAAATAATCAACTACTCAACCCTAGCATTAAACTAATCAACTCTCATGCCATGTAAGCTTCACTAAAGTCTTTTAGATACAGCCAAAGCTCCTTATGTCATGGAAAGCTCTTCATATCAATTGCTTATTAGATACAAACCCAATAAAATATGAATAGCCACTTCTTTTTTATAATGAATCTTATTCTACTACGCTAGGTTGATACAACCATTGACCTTCTACATCAACAAAATATAAGATTCTAACAAAGTCCCACCATCGGATCAAGTCATCTAGAAATTAATAATCCTTGTTTTGAATAGAAAACATTCAGAAACGATGATCTGAGTGGCACGCGGGCGGCACGGGTAGTGGTTTCAATTGAATAAAGATGGCTAGTAACAAAAGCTAAAGTTTCAGATCAAAGGTTCATGAACAAATTCGACGTATCCGAGAACGGCCAAGCCCGGAGCACAAAACACTTTCAAAAGTGCTAACAAACAATCTTTATATAGATATACGATTAGGGTTTTTTAGCCGTCAATACTTAACGGGCTAGGCCCCAAAACGAAATTCAAACCATGTAATTTTTATCTTTAAATATTTATATTTAATGAACAATCAAATTTGTGAATAATAATAAAAAAGGAAATAACGAAGATTTTATAAAAAGATTTTCATTAAGGGTAGCTGGGTAATCAACCAGCTGAGATTGAATGTGGTGCCTCTAAACGAAATTTTCACTTTGCAAATAATATATTAGATAGATTTCTATTATGCCTTGCTTATCTATTGATTAATTGAATTAGAATCTAAGACCTAGACATTATGAGTCAAGTCGCCAAGTTCGCTATGAGAGCTTGAGAGTCTAATTCCTTGTAATCATACTTTTATTAATAACGAGGAGAACTTACAGGTTTGGTTCTTAACAAATTGGTGCGTTTGTTGATACTGGAACGAACAGAGACGCAGCTGGAGCTTCAGATTTGCAGCAATAATGACGGTTAAGGAGTGTGAAGATCAAATTACACAGCTCGAAGGAGCTTTGGGAGAAGTACATGGCGATATCAAAGACGCCTTACAGGATGGCGCCAGCTGAGTTGGCAGAGCTGAAGAAGCAGATAGAGGACCTTTTGTCTAAGGGGTTCATTCGACCGAGTGTTTCACCGTGGGGAGCACCGGTGTTGTTTGTGAAGAAGAAGGATGGCAGTTTCAGACTTTGTATCGATTACAGAGGTCTTAACCGAGTCACTGTGAAGAACAGGTACCCACTCCCGAGGATTGATGAGTTGTTGGATCAGTTGAGGGGTGCTACTTGGTTCTCCAAGATTGACTTGGCATCGGGGTATCATCAGATCCCGATAGATGAGGCAGATGTCAGGAAGACTGCTTTCAGGACGCGTTATGGGCATTTTGAGTTTGTGGTTATGCCTTTCGGTTTGACTAACGCGCCGGCAGCCTTCATGAGATTGATGAACGACGTGTTCAGGGAGTATTTGGACGTGTTTCGTCATCATTTTCATTGACGATATTCTGGTATACTCGAGGAGTCAGGAGGAGCATGCGACTCACTTGAGGTTGGTTCTGGAGAAGCTTCGGGAGCAGAAGCTTTTTGCTAAGTTGAGCAAGTGCAGTTTCTGGCAGCGAGAGATGGGATTTCTTGGCCACATTGTTTCTGCAGAGGGAGTTTCTGTGGATCCGGCTAAGATTGAGGCTATCAGAGATTGGCCTAGACCTAGTAGTGCCACCGAGATCAGGAGTTTTCTGGGTTTGGCAGGATACTACAGGAGGTTCGTCAAGGGGTTTGCTACCATGGCGCAGCCGATGACGAAGTTGACCGGGAAGGATGTCCCGTTTGTTTGGTCAGCTGAGTGTGAGGAGAGCTTTAGTCAGCTCAAGGAGATGTTGACTACTACACCAGTGTTGGCGTTACCCGAGCCAGGGAAGCCTTACATGGTGTATACAGATGCTTCAGGCATTGGTCTTGGTTGTGTGCTGATGCAGGAGGGCAGAGTGATAGCATATGCTTCGAGACAGTGGCAGGGCAGTGAGCGTAACCGTCCTACACATGACTTAGAGTTGGGAGCAGTGATCTTCGCGTTGAAGATTTGGAGGTCTTACTTGCTAGGTGAGACAGTACAGGTCTTCACGGATCACAAGAGTTTGCAGCATATCTTCACTCAGCCGATGATGAACGCGAGACAGACGCGCTGGGTTGAGTTCTTGGCGGACTATCAGGTGAGCATTAACTACCATCCGGGCAAGGCTAACCTAGTGGCGGACGCGTTGAGTAGACGGAGGTATGATTCCGCAGTTGAGCGAGATGTGGAGTCTCTAGTTGGCGAGATCAGTACCTTGCGTTTGTGTGCCATTTCGCAGGAGCCTTTGGGTTTAGAGGCAGTGGATCAGGCGGATCTACTTAGCAGGATCAGAGTTGCTCAGCAGAGTGATCAGAGTTTGCTAGATGCGACGAGAGTGACTGGTTCTGAGTATGAGGTCTCTGCGAATGGGACTATCTTGGTTCGTGGGCGAGTTTGTGTGCCTAAGGATGTGGAGTTGAGACATCAGATTTTGGGAGAGGCTCACGCGAGCAAGTTTTCCATTCATCCGGGAGCGACCAAGATGTACCATGACCTCAAGAGGTACTATCATTGGGTCGGGATGAAGAGGGATGTAGCAGACTGGGTTGCGAAGTGCAACACTTGTGCCTTGGTGAAGGCAGAGCATCAGGTTCCGGGTGGTCTTTTGCAGAGTTTACCCATTCCAGAGTGGAAGTGGGACAGGATTACGATGGATTTCGTGGTTGGACTACCTGTTTCGAGGACTTTCGATGCTATCTGGGTGATTGTGGATCGGTTGACTAAGTCCGCACATTTCTTGGCCATCAAGAAGACAGATGGAGCTGCTGTCTTGGCTAGGAAGTTTGTGCGAGAGATTGTGAGGCTGCATGGAGTGCCAGCTAGTATTGTGTCAGACCGTGATCCCAGATTCACTTCAGAGTTTTGGAGGGCGTTTCAGGCAGAGATGGGCACTAAGGTGCATTTGAGTACAGCTTATCATCCGCAGACAGATGGTCAGTCAGAGAGGACTATTCAGACTTTGGAGGATTTGCTGAGGATGTGTGTGTTGGATTGGGGTGGCCATTGGGCAGATCACCTGAGCTTAGTTGAGTTTGCATACAACAACAGCTTTCAGGCGAGTATTGGCATGGCTCCATTTGAGGCTTTGTATGGGAGGCCATGTAGGACACCCCTATGCTGGACCCAAGTGGGGGAGCGCAGCATGTATGGAGCTACTTATGTTCAGGAGACGACAGAGAAGGTCGTGTTGTGAGGCTGAACATGAAGGAGGCTCAGGATAGGCAGAAGAGTTATGCAGATAGACGCAGACGAGAGCTTGAGTTTCAGGTTGGAGATAGAGTTTATCTCAAGATGGCTATGTTGAGGGGTCCTAACAGATCCATAGCAGAGAACAAGCTGAGTCCGCGTTTTATGGGTCCGTTTCCAGTAGTGGAGCGAGTTGGGCCATTGGCTTACAGGCTGGAGTTGCCTGAGATTATGAAAGCCTTTCACAAGGTTTTTCATGTGTCGATGCTGAGGAAGTGTCTTCACCCTACAGAGGAGTTAGTGGCTAGGATTCCAGAGGATCTTCAGCCAGATTTGACAGTGCCGGCAGTGCCTGTGAGGATTTTAGAGAGGAGGGAAAAGGTTCTGAGGAACAAGAGGATTCCCTTACTGAGGATTTTGTGGGATTGCAGTGGTTCTACAGAGGAGACTTGGGAGCCAGAGGCAAAGATGAAGTTGAAGTTCAGGAAGTGGTTCGACAAGCAGGTCGAGGAGTGAGCTTATTTCATCTTTGTAGCCTCAGTTGTTTTTTTTGGCTTTGGTGTTATTGTATTTTCGTTTTCGTTGTAACGATATACATTTTGGAGTTTTAATGAGATGCAGTTTTTCCTCATTTTGCCTTGTGTTGTGAAATGGTATTCGGATGTTACACATGTTTGACCAGTTTTTGGTTGTGAGACGGTCTAATCTTATGGTTATAGACATTTTCCGGAATTTTTACTCTAAGGATTGCGATCCTGAATAACTCATCATGTTTTTGGAGACTTCGTTCTCTGGCAGACTCTCTGGGTGCAAGTAGGCCTCAGTTGAGTGTAGCTTATCTGGGTGCAAGTAGGCCTCAGTATAAGCAGTTTAGTTCATCTGGGTGCAAGTGGGCCTCAGTATGGAGTTTCGGGTTCGTCTGGGTGCAAGTGGGCCTCAGTGCGGACCGGTGTGGACTTGTCTGGGTGCAAGTGGGCCTCAGTACAAGTTGTTTGTGTGTTTGGATGATGAGTTAGGAGTGAAATTCTTGGAACGTGCTTATGACATAAGATTGACGTTGTCTCGGGGATCAGGTGAGGATCTCCAGTGTTGCGGCCTTGCGAGGTCGGGTTTTGTGGTCTTTGTGACGTTTGTTGGGATTCGAGGTCGAATCCAGTTTAGTGGGGGAGAGTTGTAACATCCGTAGCCTTTTTCTGGAGTTTTGGGGGTTGCGTTGGGCGACGCAAGGGTCGAATCCAGTTTAGTGGGGGAGAGTTGTAACATCCGTAGCCTCTGGATTTTTCTGGGCGACCAAGGTGTGTCGGTCGAAACAATTGAAAATCGACCTGGTTCAATTTAAGTGAAATTGGGCCCGGTTTAGCCCGGTTTAGGGCTGGAAACCCTTTTTCGAGTTTAAAAGGAGCAGCCGCTTTTCTTCTCTTTTGTTTTTGCGAAAAGGAGAGAGTTCTGAGGAGAGTGGGCGATTTTGGAGAGATAAATCAGACCCGGTTCAATTTAAGTGAAATTGGGCCCGGTTTAGCCCGGTTAAGGGCTGGAAACCCTGATTTTCGAGTTTAAAGAAGGAGCAGCCGTTTTTCTTCCTCACTTTTGTCCTTTTGCGAAAAGGAGAAGTTCATGAGGAGAGCTGAGCGATTTTGGAGAGATCTGTGGTGTTCTTGGGCGAATCTGAGGCGGATCTGTTGCTGTTCTTCTTTGTTTTCTCTTCCTTTTCCTTTTTCAATCCAATTCAAAGTGAGTGCATGACTGTAGGTCCGCAAATCACTAGATCTGGATTGATTGAATGTTGTTCTTGAGGTGTTCTTATGATATAAGTTTATGTGATGATGTTTGGTTGATTCATGTGTTAATTTGGTGTTTCTGCGTGTTTTGTTGATATCTCTGTCGACCTGACGGACATGCGTCGGTCGACGCAAAGTGGTCTGCGCGACACAAAGCTTGCGTCGGTCGACGCAGCCAGTTCTGTCTGGTTCAATTGGAAATTGATTTCTGGTTCAAATTAAGTGATTTCTGGTTAAAATCTGGTTAAATGGTTTAATTCGAATTTAATTAATTAAATGATATTTAATTGATTAAGAGGCTTAAAATAATTATTTAAATTATTTTAAAATATGGAAAATTATTATTTAATTATGAGAATTATTTAATAATTGAGAAATGTGTTTTAATTATTAATAATTATTTAATAATTGGAAAATGGTATTTAATAATTATTGGAGTTTATAAATATTATTAAATATCTAGTAAATTGCGTAATTGGCCTGTAGGCAGAGTGATTGCCTCACTAAGTATTTATTAAATACTTACGCAACTCCATTCCAATGTGTTGCAGGTAAAAGATTTGTGTGATCGCGGAATCAAGGCTGAAGAGGGGGATGATAGGATGTTTACTGTTTTATTATTTTGCATTATTTTGCTAGACTTGTTTAATTATTATTTGCTTCCGCTGAACTATTTATTTTTATTGATATTTTATTTATTTATTTATTTTAAAGACCTTCGCTAGAATTGATTAATATTTAAAAAAAAAAGTGTTGGTTGTTTCAACAAACCGGTGATATAGCTGACCATGTGAATGAATTTGAAGAATTGTCAAGCCAAGTGACAGGAATGGATGGCTTTCTGATCTAAAAAGGTAGTTTTTATGGATTTATAGTACTTAGAGTCTAAACAGGTCAAAAGATGCATTTTGGAGCAAAACACAGGATTTGGACTTCAAGACCACTCCAAGACGTAGCATCAACTTTAGAAGGGCCTTAAAAACATTCTACTCAATGGACTTCATCAAATCTAGTTCAAAGTGATGAATACGTGAGTTAGCTTTGCAACGCAACTGGAATCAATCAATTTGACCGAGTAGATTGGGAGATATCTCTATTTCCCTGAGACATATACCGAGGAGCTTTATCGGACTGCATCAGTACATCAGACGAGAAGCAGCGGCTTGGACCCTTAAACTCAATGTATTTCAATGAAACTAAACACCACGATAGCCAGATGAGTTAGTGTTCCAATTCCGTTGGAAGTATGCAATTTGGATGAGTAGTTTAGGAGATATCACGTTTGTACTGAAGACTGGTCCACAGCCGGCCGAACGCACTCGGCCGGACAGGAAGGGAATTGTTTCGCTCGGCCTTCTCCAGGACCGATCCGGCCGCACGAGCGCACCGTCCGAGCCGGGAGGCAATGGAAAACGATCGACCGAGAACATCACATCACGGCCGACCCCGATGGCTGACCACATCCCTTGCACGGTCAACCCGAGGTCCGCGAACAAAAAGACTACTTATGCAGTTTCGACTATTCTCGGCCCGTTTCACCTTAACCGACTTGTGGAAGACCTATGGCACTATAAATACTCTTTTTTAGCCTCTTTAGAAGAGAGAGCCGCATAGAGAGTCACACAGGAGAAGAGCTACAAGAGAGAGGCGCACTAGGGAGTTCCCCTTAGAGGGATCCTCCATTGTTTTACTTCTTTCTCATTTTTTTCCTTAGGGAGAAGATCCCTTCTTTGTATCTCGACATAGAGAAGCTTTCTAAACCCTTTTCTCCTTATATTAATATGATTTCTATCTCAGATCTATGCTTGTTTACTTGAACCATGTTTGAGTAAATTTCTAGTTAAGTTTTAGGGTTTCAAAGAGTTCATGTGTTGATTATGATTTGATGAATTAACTAGGGATATCATTAGAGTCTTTGTCTCGTTTTGCACACTTAATTAATGCTAATCACTTTACCGTACATCTAGTGATTCAAACTTAGGTTGATTTGAGCCTCGAAAGTGTTGTATCATTCGCCGGACATATTCTTTGACAAGCTAGGTTTCTTAGACTGCGAAAGTTGATTTACTACTCTCTCCGTTTCAAATTAGTTGTCGTTTTGGCAAAATGTATCTGTAATTATTTGGATGTATCTGCAATGCAAAACATGTCCATATACGTCCAAATATTTGCAGATACATTTTGCCAAAACGACAACTAATGTGAAACGGAGGGAGTATAACCTAGTGAACTGTATCCGAACTTGCTCGATCTAATGCTTGATTTAATCACCTAGGGACATACCAAAAGTTTAGCGACTAGGTAGATTAACAAAGGAACCGGAGCCTCGACAATGGAATGGTTTTACATTTGTGTTTGGTGTTCTAGACAGATCTTACATCCCATATCCCTAAATATATATAAATCAAGCATCAATCTTATCATATATGAATCTCTGCGAATTACCTATTTCCTAGCGTCTTCCCCACATTGAATTCACACCGTTTTTACTTTGCTTTCATTAGTTATTTTGCATACCAAACCCCAATTTATCCTCTTGTCCTAGCTAAGTTAGACTTGCATAGCTTGTAGTGCACTTATCTGCTCCTTGTGTTCGATAACCCGTTACTACACCTGACCTGTGCACTTGCAGAATCAGGGATAGGAATAGGTAAAACCTGATCCCGCATCAAGTTTTTGGCGCCGTTGCCGGGGAGAAATACAGCTGCCTACGAGTTCCCAAGAATAGCTTGTCTAGGAATTTAGTTTTAGTAGTTTTTTCTTTTGATTTTTAGTTTTAGTTGTTTTTCATTCTTCCTTTGTTTTAGTTTTTGTTTCAATTTCGCTTTAAGCCTTTATCTTTGTGTGTTTCAGGTGCAAACTTGATTTTAAGATGAAAGCTATGATCTATGGCCAGACCCAAGATCATATCCTACTAAGGCGTGCCCCTTACTACCAAGAACCCATTGGAGATTTTGCATGGGAGCAATCACAAGAAGTTAACTATCTAGATGACTTCATCTATCCTCCTGACTTCCAGCAGCAATCACCACGGTTTCACCATCAAGGAAGTCAATTCCGACCTATGCAGCAGTACAATCAAGAAGGCATGTACCCAATGAAGCAGCCTTACAACTTTCCTCCAAGCGCACCTCATCCGGTTCAGAAAAATAGTGTGATTCAAGCAATGCTTCAGCAGATTGTGGATGATCAAAAAGAGATCACTAATGAACTGGATGAGAGGATGGAAAGCTTGTTCAACAGTTTCATTGACAAGAACGAGTCTCTTGCTTGTCAAATCAAGAAGATTCACACCCACATTGATCAAACCTATGAAGATTTGAAAAGACAAGACATGGAGGAAACAAAAGCTTTTTGTGAATCCATCTCTAGAAGAGAAGCTGAGTTCGTGCCTACCCATAAACCACCCCAGACTGCTGTTAACTTGGTTAAAAGACCAGAACAAGAGCATTACTCCCTGGACTCAACAAGAGGTTACAAGCCGAAGCCACTAGAGAAGATCTCTAACCCGGAGAAGCTTGATTTACCTTGCATCATTAATGGAGTATTGTTCAAGGATTCCTTATCTGATACAAGATCTCACATCAACATCATGAACAAAGGAATAGCCAAGAAGATTGGGATTGAAGTCAGAGATCCCTCCAAGATACCAATGCGATTTAAAGATGATCCTTATACTCTCTTCCATGGTTTCATCTCGGATCTTACACTATCCATAGGAGATCACGTCTTTAAGGCAGATTTCCACATCTTGGAGATGAAACACGACCGTGACAAGCCATTGAGTTTTGGTTCATCATTCCTTGAAGCCAATGGAGCAATCTTGGATCTTCAGAAGCAAAGAATCTCTCTCTCCAAAATCAGTAAAGCCATGTCCTATCCGGCGGTTCCTATCAAGAGCTCTCATTCTGCAGATGTGTGCGCTAGAGAGGAACCACTATCAGAGCCTAATAATGACCAAGAGGAGTTGATAGACGTCATATCAGCAGCCCCTCTCATCATACCTAAGGAAATTGCCATACCGGCAAAGGCCAACTGCATTAAGGTTTCAGGTGTCTTAAGCAAGATTTTGACACCAAAGGAGTACAAGGAGGACGTGATTGATGCCACACCACAGCCTACAAGAACTTCAAGATGCTTCTCTAAGTTCAGATTTGATTTCCAAAATAAGGAAAACAAAGAACCCTTCAAGGATGGGCTGCACAAGAAGAGGAAACTCTTTACTGGTGGTATTGTTTCTTGCAACTACATTCAAGACCTTCAAGATATCCATAGGAGGAGTTTCAAACCGTCAGGTCCAGAATGTAGAGAAGCTAAAGGAGCCTCAACTCTTCTATTTGATCAATTGGTCAATTAGAAAGAGAAAGAGTCAAGCTAAAAGACTTTAAACAAGCGCTATATGGGAGGCAACCCATAAGGTGTTTTCTTTTCCCTTTTTACTTTTTTTTTAGTTTAGTGGTTTTTGTTTTTTTTTTGAAGTTATGGATACAGAGATTTGAGAATCTAGCATGAAATTTGAGAAGAAACCTCGAAAAATGAAGAAAGGAGACAAAACCATGAAAGTGTCCCACCCAAAGTCCCACCCTTGTTCAAGGCGAAATCTCCACTACAGGTAAGTAATTCTTCTCCAATATTTCAGTCATGACCACTATTAATCTTTACTTCATAAGTATTTGAACCATTGCACTTCATTAGTTACATTTCATGGTCTAAATCGCTTTAAAATTTAATGGTTATTGAATGAAATATATCTCTACTTGTCAAACTTATATTATGCAATGAATTCACATAGACTAAATTATAATTTGAAGTTTGGGATCACTAACCAAGACCCAAAAATATGTTTATAGTTTTTACCTTAATCTCTTGGATTGTGAACTTCAAGCTGGTTACTTGAGGATCTCAATCTAAGAACTATCTAATCAGTGATTTCAAGTATTTTGCAAGGATTTAATTATTGACAGGAAGGATATCAAGAAGAAATGCTATAGCCGACCACAACCATCATACCTATGGAGGTTTAAGGAAGGTTTCAAAGGAGGATCATACCCAATCCCAAGGAACAAGGCAAGAACCACCTGGGAATGATAAAGAAGGGTTAGAAAATCACTTTGGTCGAAGAAAATCTCAATTGGCCCGAGTGGATTTGAAGAAATTCCATCCGGCCTATTTCTCTCGGCCATGGCGAGTACAAGGAGACAATCTCGGCCAACTCCTCAACTGTATGTTCAAAGTCCACCAAACTTCACAGGCGGCCATAAAATCAAATTTTGGTCGGCAAATCCAAAAGATAGGACGGTGAAATGTTCACGGTTCAGGAGATATACAGAAGAGCCCCATCCGGTCGTCCGCGGTGCAACCAAATGGCCGACAAAACCAAATCACGGCATAGGCGCGAAATCCGGCTGGAAAACACTTCCTGGAGCTTCAATATCACATTTCCAAAGGAATATCACAAAACGAACGAGCCAAACTCAAGGATGGCCAAGAAACCTCTTCCCGGAGCCATATTGACCACTTTGTGAAGGATCTCTCAATCCACTCGTTCGAATGCTCTCAAACTTCACCAGAGGCCATAAAATATGAGGTTGGTCGATGAAATTTCAATATGGGTCGAGGAATTATTTATAGTTTGAGCTGTGGTCATAGCACTACCCTCCGGCGACCGAAATGTCCCATCTCGGCCAGAACGCAACCCGGAGTGAACCAAGCCCTGAAATTCAAAACTCACCGACCAAATCACATGAGGAAGTCTCCTATTCATTCATGACCTAAGGCTGGATAAAGGTCAACTACATACCACCACTAGGTTGTTTCTTCATGGACTTAAGGTCTAATCAGGTTATATCTTTCTTCTCATTCACTCACACATTATTACCTCTTTCTTTTTCCTCCCTTAATCGGATTTGCTTTCACCGGGACGGTGCAAGTTAAGTCTGGGGGGATTGTTGGTACTAATGTGTTTGTTCATGCCTTGTCTTCATCTTATATCTCTTCTCTTTCCCACCTTTTTCAAAAATTTCTGTTTTATTGAGTCAAAACCAGTTGGGAAACAATGATCTATTCTTGGAGCTTACCTTATCACACCAAAGCTCTTGTGATCACAAAGGCGAATATGACACCGAACAATGCCTAACGGAACCTCTGAGGGTGGATCGACCTACTGATTTGGCAAGATTTCTAAGGTACCCACACAATCTAAAGCTAAGCTCCACAACTTAATGAACCTTTAATTTTTCTTGTCAAGGGGCTTGAGATACATGTGAGTCGACTCCTCATCTGAGTTTAGTTGAGATATGTCTAGAAAAGAAACAGTCATCCTCTCTCTTATCTGCAAAAGAAAGATCAAAAGCTCTAAGAGCACAAGGAAAACAAGTAAGCATGAGGAATGCATACTTCTGTACCTTCATGTCTTATGGAATACCTTATACACAAGGAGGAAGCTCAATGCCAATCCATGTATCCCACAAGAGAAATCTTAAGGGAAGGAGGATCGATAGAAAAAATAAAATGATACCCTAGAAAAGTAGGGAAAAATCGATTCTTCAAAGATAAGAGAGAAGGAGAGAGGTTTGGTACTGAATGAGCAAGAAAGACTATCTTGGCAAAGACTTGGATGGGTAAGAATCAATGCTCTGTGATCAATACTCCCTTGATAAAGACCACACGTTTTAAATACTGCAAGGAGTTAGCAATAGAGAGTTTGGAATACTGGATGAGATTTGTTGGGTCCGGTATGGTTCGCTAAGCTCAAGGTCAGTACGGGAAAGCTAGTTTCAAAGTTGGTTTTGCTCCAAATGAAAGCAGAGCAATGGTAGATACAAGTTCTAAAGGATAAGTGAGTTTCCATGTTTTCAAAACCTCTTCACTAGTTTGGATTCGATTTGCTTGGGGACAAGCAAAGATCTAAGTCTGGGGGAGTTGATATACCTCTATTTTACATGCTTTTTATATGGTTTTACTATGCTTTTCATAAGGTTTTTAATGGCTTTCTGATCTAAAAAGGTAGTTTTTATGGATTTATAGTACTTAGAGTCTAAACAGGTCAAAAGATGCATTTTGGAGCAAAACACAGGATTTGGACTTCAAGACCACTCCAAGACGTAGCATCAACTTTAGAAGGGCCTTAAAAACATTCTACTCAATGGACTTCATCAAATCCAGTTCGAGTGATGCATACGTGAGTTAGCTTTGCAACGCAACTGGAATCAATCAATTTGACCGAGTAGATTGGGAGATATCTCTATTTCCCTGAGACATATACCGAGGAGCTTTATCGGACTGCATCAGTACATCAGACGAGCAGCAGCGGCTTGGACCCTTAAACTCAATGGATTTCAATGAAACTAACACCAAGATATAGATGAGTTAGTGTTCCAATGCCGTTGGAAGTATGCAATTTGGATGAGCGTTTAGGAGATATCACGTTTGTACTGAAGACTGGTCCACAGCCGGCCGAACGCACTCGGCCGGACAGGAAGGGAATTGGCTTCGCTCGGCCTTCTCCAGGACCGATCCGGCCGCACGACCGCACCGTCCGAGCCGGGAGGCAATGGACCACGATCGACCGAGAACATCACATCACGGCCGACCCCGACGGCCGACCACATCCCTTGCACGGTCGACCCGAGGTCCGCGAACAAGAAGCCCACTTATGCAGTTTCGACTATTCTCGGCCCGTTTCACCTCAACCGACTTGTGGAAGACCTAGGGCACTATAAATACTCTTTTTTAGCCTCTTTAGAAGAGAGAGCCGCATAGATAGTCACACAGGAGAAGAGCTACAAGAGAGAGGCGCACTAGGGAGCTCCCCTTAGAGGGATCCTCCATTGTTTTACTTCTTTCTCATTGTTTTCCTTAGGGAGAAGATCCCTTCTTTGTATCTCGACATAGAGAAGCTTTCTAAACCCTTTTCTCCTTATATTAATATGATTTCTATCTCAGATTATGCTTGTTTACTTGCACCATGTTTGAGTAGATTTCTAGTTAGGTTTTAGGGTTTCAAAGAGTTCATGTGTTGATTATGATTTGATGAATTAACTAGGGATATCATTAGAGTCTTTGTCTCGTTTTTCACACTTAATTAATGCTAATCACTTTACCGTACATCTAGTGATTCGATCTTAGGTTGATTTGAGCCTCGAAAGTGTTGTATCATTCGCCGGACATATTCTTTGACAAGCTAGGTTTCTTAGACTGCGAAAGTTGATTTACTATAACCTAGTGAACTGTATCCGAACTTGCTCGATCTAATGCTTGATTTAATCACCTAGGGACATACCAAAAGTTTAGCGACTAGGTAGATTAACAAAGGAACCGGAGCCTCGACAGTGGAATGGTTTTACATTTCGTGTTTGGTGTTCTAGACAGATCTTACATCCCATATCCCTAAATAGATATAAATCAAGCATCAATCTTATCATATATGAATCTCTGCGAATTACCTATTGCCTAGCGTCTTTCCCCACATTGAATTCACACCGTTTTACTTTGCTTTCATTAGTTATTTTGCATACCAAACCCCAATTATCCTCTTGTCCTAGCTAAGTTAGACTTGCATAGCTTGTAGTGCACTTATCTGCTCCTTGTGTTCGATAACCCGTTACTACACCTGACCTGTGCACTTGCAGAATCAGGGATAGGAATAGGTAAAACCTGATCCCGCATCATGAGGGTAAGTCGCAGGTCTCCAAACAGAGTGTATTTCGACCCTATAGATCTACTACAGTTTTTTCACCACAAAAATCTGCTTCTGCTCAAGACAATCGTATGGGTAATTCGATGAAGCAGATCTCTTGGGGAAACAAATCAGCGGAGGCCAATCAGAATAAGTCTCCAGTGGAGCTACGCCCGCGACAACAATATACGGATGCCGAACTTGACGACATGAGGAGAAAAAAAATCTGTTTCAAGTGTCGCGGACCCATCTTCCGCGGTCATCCGTGTTTGAAGCGCGAACTACAAGTTCTTACTGTTGTCAGTGGATTCACGATGGAGGTATTGGATCAGGAATTGGATGATAAAGACGATGAAGAGAATGAGCTGATTGGGGAGTTGAGGGAATTATCTCTAAACTCTTTTCTGGGTCTTTCTTCGTGTACTACTACAAAAGTGAGAGGAACTGTTGGGAAGTATTCTGTGGTGATAATGATGGACAGCGGTGCTACTCATAACTTTATAGCCCCATCATTGGTTTCAAAGCTTAAACTCAAAACCGCAAAAGACAAGAGTTTAGAGGTGTTATTGGGAACTGGCGTTTCTGTCAATGGCTCGGGCATTTGCAAAAACGTGGAGTTTGGCATTCAGGCATTGACTTTCACTACAGACTTCATCGAATTGGAGTTAGGTAATGTGGATATTATTTTGGGTATTCAGTGGCTCAGCACACTTGGGAAATGTATGGTGGATTGGGAAGCTCACGAACTATCTTTTCGTTATCATGGGAATTGGATTACACTTCATGGAGACCCGATGCTGCATCAACGAAAAATCTCTTTCAAAACAATGCAACCTGCTCTTACTATCCTTCATAAAGGTACGGATATTGTTTTTGATAAGGTGATCCTGACTAGCCAACAGCTTCTCGCCATACCTCACGAGATTGAACTGCAGTTGGAAAAGTATCAAGAATTGTTCAATGAACCACAAGGCTTACCTCCGATCAGAGGTCGTGAGCATGCAATTAATCTTCTTCCAGGAAGTGGTCCAATTAGTGTCAGACCTTATAGATATCCACATGCTCAAAAAGAAGAGATGGAGAAACAAGTAGCAAAGATGTTGGAAGCGAAGATCATACGGCCGAGTCATAGTCCTTTTTCCAGTCTAGTTTTGCTAGTGAAGAAGAAAGATAAGAGTTGGCGTTTTTGTGTGGATTACAGGGCCTTAAACAGAGCCACTATTGCTGATAAATTCCCAATCCCTATGATTGATCAGCTATTGGATGAATTAAAAGGAGCAAAAAAATTCTCAAAACTGGATTTGCGCTCTGGGTATCACCAAATCCGAATGCAGGAGCAAGACGTCGAGAAGACTGCGTTTCGTACTCACGATGGACACTATGAGTTTCTTGTGATGCCCTTTGGCTTGACGAATGCACCGGCAACGTTTCAAGCACTGATGAATGATTAGTTCAGGCCATTTTTGCGGAAGTTTGTGCTTGTGTTCTTTGATGATATTCTTATCTACAGCTCATCTTTACAAGAGCACTTGTTCCATCTTCAACAGGTCCTTGATGTGTTTATTCAACATGGGTTGTTTGCTAACAGGAAGAAGTGTCTTTTCGGTCAAGCTCAAGTTGAATATTTGGGACATGTCATGTCTAATGAAGGTGTTTCTACTGATCCGAGTAAGACCGAGGCCGTGAAGCAGTGGCAATTTCCTAAGACTGTTAAAGAATTGCGTGGCTTTTTGGGACTTACTGGGTATTAAAGACGATTTGTGAAAAATTACGGATCCATAGCTCGCCCTTTGACGGAGCTGCTGAAGAAGGATCAATTCGACTGGACAGCACAAGCACAATCTGCCTTTGAAGCACTGAAAACGGCAATGGTGTCAGCCCCAGTTCTAACATTACCAGATTTTAATGAGCTCTTCGTGGTGGAGTCTGATGCGTCGGGCTTTGGCATTGGTGCTGTTTTGATGCAAAACATGAAACCCATTGCATATTTTAGCAGAGGATTGAGCTTACGAGAGCAGTTGAAATCCATTTATGAGAGAGAATTAATGGCTATTGTTATGGCAATTCTTAAATGGAAGCATTATTTGATAGGCAGAAGATTTGTACTGGAACAGAGAGAAGTTACCATGGATTATCAGAGATGGCTATCTAAGCTACTAGGTTATGAGTTTGAAATTGTCTACAAACCTGGTTTAGAAAATTCTGCAGCAGATGGTTTATCCCGCCAACTCACTACTTCAGCGACAGTTTTGGCACAGTTGTTTGCTTTGACAGTTCCTACCTCTCTGCAAATTCAAGATATTTTTGACGAAATTGAAGCAGATAAACAACTACAAGAACTTAAGAACCAGGTTCTTGCACATAGTCATAGTAACCATCACTTTACGGTGGTAGACAACAAACTGCTTTACAAGGGAAGATTGGTGATTTCTAAGCTCTCAAAGCACATACCTGCGATTTTGCAAGAATGTCACTCTGGTTTATTAGGTGGACATTCAGGCTTGCTGAAGACTTTTAAGCGCATTCAAGGCTCTTTTCATTGGTTTAACATGAAGAAAGATGTGCAGAAATTTGTTTCAGAGTGCTCTATTTGTCAGACACACAAATATTCAACTCTTTCTCCTGCAGGGTTGCTGCAACCGTTTCCTATTCCTGACAGAATTTGGGAAGACATCTCTATGGATTTTATTGAAGGCCTTCCTACGTCACAAGGGTTCAATGTGATCTTGGTTGTAGTGGACAGATTAAGTAAGTTTGCACACTTTGTTGGATTGAAGCACCCTTTTACTGCAGCAGATGTGGCTCATAACTTTGTCAAAGAAATTGTTCGACTACATGGGTTTCCCGCGTCCATTGTCTCGGATAGAGACAAGATCTTCTTAAGCAGTTTTTGGTGTGAGTGCTTTCGTCTCTCTGGAACCAAGCTGAAGTATAGCACCTGCATATCACCCTCAAACTGATGGGCAAACTGAGGTTTTAAATCGATGCTTAGAAACCTATCTCCGGTGCTTTACTTCTTCTCATCCAAAGAAATGGTTTAAGTTTCTTTCTTGGGCAGAACTTTGGTATAACACTAGTTGTCACACGGTGATTCAGTGTTCTCCTTTTAAGTTGGTCTATGGGAGAGATCCTCCACAGTTACTACACTATGAGGCTGGCTCGACTAGCAACTTTGAGTTGGAAAAGATGTTGCAAGAGAGAGATGCAATGCTGATCGAAGCTAAAGAATGTCTGTTGTGAGCTCAGCAAAACATGAAGAATAACGCAGAAAAGAAGAGAAGAGATCTGCAGTTTGAGGTGGGAGCATTCGTCTTTCTTAAGCTGAGACCTTATAGACAACAGTCCGTGACAAAAAGAGTATGCCAGAAGTTAGCAGCTCGTTACTATGGTCCTTATGAGGTTCTGGCTAAGATTGGTGCATCAGCTTACCGTTTGCGATTGCCTTCTGAGTCTAAGATCCATCCAGTGTTTCATGTTTCTCAATTGAAACCGGTTTTGGGACAAGGTCATGTGGTGAATCCTTTACCCTCTGTTTTTTCTGCTAATAACGAACTTATTGTGGAACCTGAATCGGTGTTGGATTCACGATACAATGATGATGGTCATTTGGAAGTTTTACTGTCTTGGAAAGATTTACCAGATCATGAAAAGACATGGGTTCGTATGAGTGAAGCTTTACAGCAATTTCCAGATTCCAAGCTTGGGGACAAGCTGCGTCTTCGCCATGGGGGTATTGATAAACCATTAAGAGGTTACATAAGGAAAAAGAGGAAAGAGAATGCAGAAAAAGGGAATGTTCAAACCGACTTTGCTCATGGAGAAGGAAGAAGTCGGGTTGAAGAGCACTTGAAGAAAAGGAAAGTCCTTGCTATGGTTTTATTATATATCTTTTTATATTATTAATTGAGAAGTACATTCTAATGTTTGGATACAAGAATTAGAGAAACATCTATTTGGATAGAAGAATAAATGGAAACAAAAGTTGTTTGGATATAAGAATAAGAGAAAAATCTATTTGGATAGAAGAATAAATGGAAAAAATTGTTTGGATACAAGAATAATAACTTAAAATAAACCGATGGTTTAGAAAACTTCCGTTTTCCATCTCTTAAAAATCTGCAAAAAAAAAACTTAACATAATCTAACGATAATTCCAAATCAATAGAATATGCTTTTTGGATTTTCGGGTTTTTATAGACAAGTTCGGGTTTGGGTGAAAATCTGAGACATAATTTTATAGAGATATAGAAATTGTTCGGGTTTCTTTGAAAATTTCTGTTCGGGTTAGGTTCAATTTTTTTTTCAGTTTAGGGTTTTCCGGATTTTTTAGATTTCTGGTTTTCGGGTTTAGATATATTAAAAAAATTGAGTATTTTAAAATTTTGATTAGGTATTGGGGTCGGGTTCCGGGTGAAAAAGTTTCCAGATTTTTTTTGTTCAGTCAGGGTTTTCGGGATTTTTTTGATTTCGGATTTTCATGTTTAGACCTATTAAAAAAGTTTGGGTTTTTAAATTTTTTGATTAGGGTTTTTTGTCGGGTTCGGATTTAGGGTTTAAATTTTCTACACAAAACAACAACGTCACACCGCACAAACGTGCGGGTACTCTACTAGTATATTTCTATTATGCCTTGCTTATCTATCGATTAATTGAATTAGAATCTAAGACCTAGATGTTATGAGTCAAGTCGCCAAGTTCGCTATGAGAGCTTGAGAGTCTAATTCCTTGTAATCGTACTTTATTAATAAAGAGGAGAACTTACGGGTTTGGTTCTTAACAGGAAGCCTCACCTAATTAGTATTCAGCTATGTAACATTCACTTAGTCCTTAACATATAAGCAGATATCCACGGTTTAAGTCCTTTCTAGTTCTCTCACAAACCAATTAATACAGAGTTAATCTGAAGTCCCTTTTGAATTGCTTATACTTCAGCCTTTTCTTTACTAACTCGGTAAACAACAGGGAATGACCCGATGACAGATAAGCCCATAAAAGTTTTCACATTCGAGAGAATAATAAGAAGCAAAAAAACTGAAACAGTAGGTAACGAAATCTATTGCTTTCACCTCTTTCTAAAACGCAATAAATCTATTATATATGAAACTTTCTGACATACTCATAAAATCAGAAAAGGTTGTATTAATAAAAGCATTGTAACAACAATATTACATTTGAGACAATAGAGCGAATATCAACATCATCAGGTAGACCATTAGAAGCTCTTTACCTGAAATTCTCCACGTCTCATACCAGAAAACCGGTGTCTTTGTCCAATAAAAGCCGGCTTAGTAATCTGCAGCGCTCGAGTGTCTGCTGTTTCACAACCTCTTAGAAACTGCTATCAAAAATGTTTATTTGGGGGTTTAGCATGAGGCTAACACCAAATCAACCATGGCCAGCTACCTTAGGAGTTAGGACTAAGGCATCCACAGCTATTCTCAACAAAAGAAAAAGAAAAAGGTTTAAATTTTTTCCGAGTTACTACAGATGGAATGCCATTGCCAGCGAAAAAGAAAAGAGACTAACTTGAGATTGATTTCGTCGTATCCGTAACGATGACAGAGCTCAGCAGCTTTTGCAAGGCTTTCCACATTGCTTCCACCTAGTCGAAGAACAATAGGATGTTGTTTAGGAGAAAATGCCAAAGAACCTATCCTCACCGTGTGTACAAAAATGGACACGTCTTTAAGCAGCGAGATTCAAAAGAATAGTAATCGAAGCAGAAGAATCGGAAAAACAAACCAGAAGTAAGATTAATGAGTGAACCCAACGGTCACAGACGATGAGAAGAAGCCGGAGCAAAATCTATAAAACGGACAAAGCATCGGAATTCGCAGAACTCCAATCGTGAAAGGTAAATGTGCCATCGTGGAAGCTGTCACACGAATCCTGACTGCTTCATATGGGGGTACTCCAGGAAGACCATGCATCGCAATTTGATGGCTCATATGACCCTGATGGAGAGAATTCCTATGGATCCAAACAAATCCATGTTTCCATTGATTATTTACGGAGGAAATCGCCGTACTTGTTCGTGAGGAAAGAGGGCGACGGGAAGGAAGTTCTGAGGGAGCAAAGTGGTAGCGACGAAAGAGTAAGGCGATCTGGATGTTGCCCTTTATAGTGGAAGAAGAGAATTGAAGTCGTGCAGACGTTACAGCCGGAGTTTAAGTCGGCCATACAGTCTGTAATGGTGGAGGAAGGGAGGGGAACAATCTCGGCGGAAGCAAGACTATTTGGGGGAATTAATTTGACGCGCCACACGATTGCGCGAAAGGGTTTTGTTTTTGTTAATAGATAAGTTGAAACGACGTCGTTTTGATATAGATACTATTTATATTTTTAAAAATTTCAGTAAGTTGACGTCGCTAAAAGGACGTCGTTTTGATGTCAGTCGAAAAAAAATAAAAAAACCGCTTACGTGGCAATCTCTGGGAGTGCTGAGGTGTCAAAGGCTGGAGAGTGTTACAAAGACTTTCAATTATATAGATTATTAAAAAATAATAAAATTGGTTAAGTAAAAAAATAATTAAAAAGAAAAGTTTATAGAAAAACAAACAGAAATATTAAAAAATTGTGAAGCGTTTGTAAAAAAAAAAATATAACAATTTAAAAATTCATTAGAACAGATTCGCGCATGCGCGGGTCAAAAACTTAGTGTGCTTAATAAGTTCGGCCTAACTCAGGGTTATAAGGTCATGAAAGCATCAGCTTTGGGCCACCAAATAAATAAAAACTCTAAGGGGCACATTGTATATTATGTTTCTTTAGCAAACTGTTAATAATTTCCATCAAGTTACTCGAGGAGGTGGGTTCGAACCTTCATGTCCCCCTTAATGGGTTCTCTTTTTTTTCAGTTGTTTTACTTAATTTTCTATAATTGATTTTATTTATGAAATGCTTCAGGCCTCTCAACATCACGGGCCGGCCCCCTAAATGTTGTTTCTTTACCTTTTTACGGCCGGTAATTATTACCTTAATGGGTTCTCTTTTTTTTCAGTTGTTTTACTTAATTTTCTATAATTGATTTTATTTATGAAATGCTTCAGGCCTCTCAACATCACGGGCCGGCCCCCTAAATGTTGTTTCTTTACCTTTTTACGGCCGGTAATTATTACCTTAATGGGTTCTCTTTTTTTTCAGTTGTTTTACTTAATTTTCTATAATTGATTTTATTTATGATGCTTCAGGCCTCTCAACATCACGGACCGGCCCCCTAAATGTTGTTTCTTTACCTTTTTACGGCCGGTAATTATTAATTTTTGAGTTCCCAAGCAACGGAATATGAAAAGCCAAAAGGTAATTGTCTTTTGAGTTTCCAGGCAACGGAATATGAAAAGTTAATTGGCTGTCTTCATCGGTGAGAAGTGACTACATTTATAGGAGCACCAAAGGAAGACCTCTCACTGAGATTTCTTACATTTCTGAAAAACACCAAAGCTTTAGTTGCGATACACAATTCGAATCCTCCATTTTTCTTTCAGGTACATACATACGACTTTAAAGGTCTTAGTTTCAATATATTGCTTTATTTTTCCTGTAGTCTCTCAGAGAGAGAGAGTAAGTGTCGCTGTTTCTGCTTTGGAGATTTTTGGGTGTTGATTGTCATTATCTAAGGTTTATGTTTTTTTTTTTCCTCAACGCTACTGCCTCTTTCGTTTCCGTTTTCGCTAATATGGTACAAATTAGTCATTAATGATACTATGCCAAAATTAGGATAGTTTTGCTCACAGAGATATAAGAGAAAGTTAAAACCCTAGATGGCTTAAACCCTTTCGCATTCCCAGAGTACTTACTTCATCTTCTTCGATTTTGATTTTGCGTTCCACAATTAGCTTTCGAAATGGGTGATCTCGGAGGAAATCAAGCGCCGGAAATTAACAGCGTATTTGTGGAGACGAATCTGCAGACTCGTCTCGTCGTTCCGGTTGTTAAAAACGAATTCGTCTCCTCTTTCAAAGGTGAGAACAAAAAAAAAACGAAATCCATTGAATCAGTATGCTAAAGTCACTCAATTTCTTCCTTACTCCATTGAATCGGCTTCTAAACTTATAGTGATGTCGGTAATCGGATCATGATTTCGTTGTTTATTTACAGATCGGTTTCGCGAGGAGCATCATGAACATTTCACAGAAATTGGAGAAATCAGCATTGATGCGGTGAAGGTAAAACTCATAGCTTTTGGGGTTATACACGTTTTTTCTTTGTTAGCAGCAACTGATTGAGAGCGATGTGGTGTTTCTTTATACATAAATGTCAGGTGGAACGCGGAGGTTGTTTGTATGAATTGTCAAATCAAATGAAACTGAGAGACGCTTTTGACGCCTTTAGTAGAAACTGGTTTCTATATGTCGATGCTGCAAAAGTTGAGAAGGAGAATCCTCTGGCTATCGTTGTTGCTCATCAAAACTGTCCGGCTGAAGGAAATCAAGAGGTTGGAAATGGAATTGACTCAGCTAAGAAGACAAGAGCAGGGAAGAGGAAAGTGAAAAGCTCCGATGGAACAAAAAGTGGAAAGAAGCAATCTGCTAAAGTTGACAAGGAAGATCTTCTGGCTACTGCGGTTGCTGATAAGACAACAATAGGGAAGAGGGAAGTAGAAATGCTTTCTCAGTCTGCTAACGTTGAGAAAGAAGATCATTTGGCTACTGTGGTTGCTGATAAAGAGTTTGGAATTGATTCAGTGCTTGGAGAAGCGTTGGAAACAGAGGTAGCTGTAGCTGAAACGACAAGAACAGGGAAGAGGAAATCTAAAACCTCAGATGGAAAGAAGAGTCGAAAGAGACGCGTGGTTGATGAGAGTAATGAGGTTGAAGCTGTTACTGTTGCTGCACCGATTTCTGAAGTTTTACCGAGGAAAGAAGTAGACGATGTTCTTACTGTAGCTCTAGGAAAAGGTAACTAACTATCACAGAACATGTAGATTCTATTATTGAGGATAATATTCTCATGTTCTATAGACATTGAGATATGCAATCTTTACTTGTCTCATAATTTTACTGGTGATTTTTGTGTAGAAAACGAGACGTGTGAGGAAGCTGTCGAAGATGCTACTCAAACTGATAAACTAGCGAGCCAACGAGAGAATCATTTGGAGAAGAAAAGTCATAGAAAGTCCAGAAAAGCCAAAAGCCTTGTTAAAGAAGAGAGTGTTTCAGGTCTTGTTAAGAATCTTGAACCTGTGGAAGCTGTAAATGGAGAAGGGGCTGATAATGTCATCAGGGATGTGTTAGCTTCTTTGCAAGAAAAGAAGAAAAATGTGGACAAGATGGAGAAGAAATCCAAGAAGAAACACGTTGAGAAGATTGTGGAGGCCCAAGCTGAGGCAAACAGTGCTGAACCGGAGGTGGCTCTTCCCTTCGAAAATGCAAAAGACACTGATGCATTGGTCATGTCGCCTAAGGACGTCGCTGGTAATAGTGAGCATGTTCAAATTCTAGAGGGGAAGGCTGATATGGGAGATGCTTTATGTCCTAGCCAGAAGGACGATGTTACTGCTGATGGGGGTGACAAGAGGCAAGATCATGTGATCGATGTAGCTCAATCTAAAGAGGAGGAGAAGAAAGGCCTTGACATGCATCACGAAGGTTCCATTAACAGCTCGGTGAGCTCAAAGAAACCGAAAGAGAAGAAGGCTAGAGGTGGCTCAGTGAAACCGAAAGAGAAGAGATCTTCTGATGTCACCAGTGGAGCACCATCTAATAGTATATTAGACGGTGATGAGAGTGATGTGAATTCTGCGTCTAGGAAGCAAGGTACTTTATCGATTTAAATATAACTTATATATGGATTTAGATGCTATCTAGTCTCTATGTTAATTTCGATTGTTGATCTCAGCAGAAAACAATCTGTCTGCTGGTGCTGGAGGAGCAAGAATGTAAGTGACCGTTCTAAGGATGTTTTATGGTCAATGATTAGCTTTCATAAACTCTGGTCCTAATATTTCCTTGTCCGTCTCTCATGTTTTGCAGGAGCTTGGAAGATGTACTGAGAAGATCAGCAAGTTACAAGAAGGCGAAACTGAGTGCTGAACAGTCTCAAGCCGAAGACAAATTGGCTTTAGGCTAATAAGTTTCATCCTTTTTTTCCAAAACCTGAGAAAAAAAGATGGTTAGAACTTAGAACCTTTCGGATTATGGTTTTTCTTTTGTGAAAGTTTTTGTTGATCAAGAGTGCTCTTCGTAAGAGTTACTGTTACAACAACTTGAACGAAACGTGAAAAGATCTCTAGTTGATTGTTTTCTCTTTAAACGGAAAACATATAGTAATCGTTTTGTTTGGGATGATAAGTGCAAGGAGACACTGTTTTTATTGCTAAATTTGGGCCTGAACTTTATGGCCCATATCTTTTAGCGAAAGCCAATTATCGTTGATGTGTTTTGAAATACTAATGTTACACTAATCTAACGGTCTTTGTAGAGATTCCGATTTTTTTTTTTTGTATAACACTAATCAGATTATCAGAGCCTCTCTCTCTCTCTCTCTCTCTATCTTCCTAAGATTTTCAAATTTTCTTCATCTTCAAAAGAGAGAACGAAAGAGAGAGAAACAATTTTATTTCCCCTTGTCTTACAAGAAACAGATTCGATATCCACAGTGAAAGACGTCAAGATCAATGCTACGTGGATCCCGAAGTAGCGCCACCAACTTGTTCACCGGGCGATTCCTGATTCCGATGTAACGGATAAATTAGAGAGTGGAGATACTTTCGTGGATGGGAATTTGACGATTCTATGGTGTCTGATCAGAAATTCAAGGCTGTTTTTCACTGGAGCGTTATTTCACAGGTTTCGATCTTCTGCCTTACGATTTCAATTCGGCAAACCCTAGTTTTTCGCTTAGTGAAATTCGAATAGTGGTGAATCAGTGTTTTTTGGTATCACGCTCTTAATTTGGAAATCGGAGATTCCAAATTTCCAATTTGTTAGTGGTTCAACCCGATAAATTACAGATCGGAGATACTATCGTTGATCAGGTTGATGATTCTCTGGTGGATTTCATGGTGTGTGATCCGAGAAATCGACTATTCTCCGCTGGTTTTCACAGGACCGAATCGTACAGCCTTCGATCCTGATCCTCTGACTTACAATTTCAATTTCGGATCTCTAGAGTTTGGGCATGTAGCCTCTTCTAAGTTTATTTTGTTTAACCACAAAAATTTATGTGAATTAAATATATGGTTTTCCTTAATTTATGTGACATGTTAACCATAGAAAGGTTATACTTGACATGTTAACATAGAAAGGTAATACTTTATTTTAGAGAGATTTATTTCTCCAGTCGTAGTGTTTGTAAGGATTTCTTGCATCTCGATCAACATTTAAGGGAAAATACGTTTTATGTTGAGTTTGATGTTTCTCGTTAAGGATTTGTGTCTCGTTTAGACCATAAACTCAACTTCTCAACTTCTCAACTTTCATTCGGGCTTTTAATTACCCGAAAGTGGATTTTTCCATTGAGTTGCAAGACAAAACAAAGAAACAATTTAGCTAACATAGAGATAGTCAAGTGTTTTCGATCGGCACTTATTCACGGTGCTAAGGCCATGCTCGAAGGATAAGTTTAGTTTGATTTATCCAAGAACATACCCTAATTTGAGTGTCTTGATTAGTTACTCTATTTGTTCTTAAATGAGGATACAACAGAACATAATAAAAATGATTATTCTTTATTTGGTCAAGCTTTATTCTTTATACTTTATTTTCTCATGTAAAGTTATTAATATGAAAAACACAACAATCCTCCAATAAAGCTTAAATTTGCTCTTTTTTCCTTCGAGAACAACAACAGAAACAAAATTTGTTATTATTTAAAAGGAAAATATATACTATCTCTCGGAAAAACAAAAGAGAAAAGAAAAATTAGAATATAAAGCAATGATGCAAACCAAAATATCTACTCTCTGTCGAAAAATTAGAACATTACAAATAAGAATCCACCGATGTTATTTAAAACGTCAGCTTTACTTGAGGCCAAGAAAATCATTAATCTTTTCGCATCCTTTGACAAGCATGTCGAATATCTCTGCCATGTCAGTTCTTTTACCCAGAAGAGAGTTATGTTCCCTTCCTTTGCAATCTTGTACACTTTCGACTCATAAGTGAAGTGCTACAAAAACTCAGAGTCTCAAAAGGAGAAAGAGATCAGCTTCGTTGAATAAGCTCAAAAACCCAGAAGAGCCACACAAACAAAATAAAAAATCAAGTAGAAGGAAAGGAAGATTCAAGATACTCAGTAGAGTCCATCAGCATAGAAGAAGAAGAACAATTTGAGAAGACTCGTATTGAGAAGATACAATCTATCCACCACCGCAAATAATCTGTCAAATTGAGAAGAAAACACAGAGTGAAACTAAATGTACAAAAATCAATAGTCACCATCATCATCAAGCTTAGTACAGAGTAAAACTAAAATCAAGTCGACATTGAAGTCGGAATGTATCACCCAAACCGAAAAATACCTCAAAAACCAAGTAACATAAAATTTTGCCAGAAAATCGAAGATGAAATCTAGTAGAGAAGAAGAAAATTTAGAACGCTAATTGGTAACTTAATTGGGTGGAAAGATGTTCGACAACGGGATCCTTGAAAATCGAAGTTAGAACACGGTTCCAACAAACGAATCTCTTCCTCCAATCTAAATATGCGATTGAAAGAACAGCGGTGGAGAGAAAAAAAAGGAAAAAACCTTCAAAACTTACTCATCCTTGTTTAAGATGAACCCAGGTCCTGACATCAACTCAGATCTGAATCAATAGATCCATGTCCCATGTCTTTAACTCGAAAAATCCCGGACACAGATCCGATTTAAGAAAACGATTGAGGAGAAGAAATTTTCCGATTATCTTTCTCAATCACCAAATATCTTCTCTTTAATTAACTTAAATCGCAGATCCAATTTAAGAAGATGATTGAGGAGAAGTAAGATTTTGGATTATGTTTCTCAATCGCCAAGTATCTTTCTGAAACGCCAAAGGAAAGAAACTGAGATGATCATGAAGCGAAGGAACAATTTAAAATCGGTTTAGGTTTTCTTCTCCTCATGGAAACTTAACCGGCCGTGGAAGAACAAAATCATTAAAGGAAAACCGGACAAAAACGTGGCACTAAACCGAGAATTTGCTGACTAAGATTAATCGAAATGTTCTAATTGGTTGGTTGTATTAAGTGAGGTGTCAGCTTCAGAATGCTTTAAAAAACCAACGTGTCAACATTTTGAGAGGCACAAGGGATTTTATTGTGTTGATTGCTCCAACAGTTACAATGTTAAAAGGTTAGTTTTATTTATTTTTGGTTAACATGCACTTATAAATCTGCGCTAAATATATTACTTAGTCAAAGAAATCAAAATTTACAAATTAATCAAATATAAAATAAAAACATTCTTCATCTCCCAATTTTATTCATGACCCTAAAACCTCTTAGTTGTTCACAAATTGTTCTACCAATGACCAAATCAAATACCATCTAATCTAATAGACAAACTACTTTGATGTTTTTATATACTATTGTCTATTATGTTTTAACAATCCTAGGTCACATCAAGTTTTTTAATAATTTCTTACCTACTAAAGAAAGATGATTAGCTTCTTTGTTTGTCTTAACAACACATTAATGTGCTTAATAAGTTTGGCCTGACAGGGCCGGCCCTGTTGTAAGGTCATTAAAGCATCAGCTTTAGGCCACCAAATAAATAAAAACGTTTAGGCAACATTGAATTATATGATTGTTTAGCAAATTGGTTATATTGTCCAACAAGTTACCTGAGGAGGTGGGTTCGAACCACCACCTTTCCCCCTTATCCTGTCCCTCTGTTTTTTTTTTTTCAATTTTTTTACTCAATTTTCTATTTATTTAATTTTTTTATTAACTAAAATTATAAAAAGAATCACATATTTATGAAATGCTTTTTTTTACTCAATTTTCTATTTATTTAATTTTTTTTATTAACTAAAATTATAAAAAGAATCTCATATTTATGAAATGCTTCGGGCCTCTCAACATCACAGGCCGGCCCCCTAACTGTTGTTTCTTTATCTTTTTACGGCCTGTAATTATTAATTTTTGAGTTCCCAGGCAACGGAATATGAAAAGTCTTTTGAGTTCCGAGGCAACGGAATATAAAAAGAATCTCATATTTATGAAATGCTTTTTTTTACTCAATTTTCTATTTATTTAATTTTTTTTATTAACTAAAATTATAAAAAGAATCTCATATTTATGAAATGCTTCGGACCTCTCAACATCACAGGCCGGCCCCCTAACTGTTGTTTCTTTATCTTTTTACGGCCTATAATTATTAATTTTTGAGTTCCTAGGCAACGGAATATGAAAAGTCTTTTGAGTTCCGAGGCAACGGAATATGAAAAGTTAATTGGCTGTCTTCGTCGGTGAGAAGTGACTACATTTATAGGAGCACCAAAGGAAGACCTCTCTCTCAGATTTCTTACATTTCTGAAAAAAACCAAAGCTTTAGTTGCGATACACAATTCCAATCCTCCATTTTTCTTTCAGGTACATACATACGACTTTAAAGGTCTTAGTTTCAATATATTGCTTTATTTTTGCTGTAGTCTCAGAGAGAGAGAGTAAGTGTCGCTGTTTCTGCTTTGGAGATTTTTGGGTGTTGATTGTCATTGTCTAAGGTTTATGTTTTTTTTTTCTCAACCCTACTGCCTCTTTCGTTTCTGTTTTCGTTTCTCTTTCAGTAATGATACTATGCCAAAATTAGGATAGTTTTGCTCACAGAGATATAAGAGAAAGTTAAAACCCTAGATGGCTTAAACCCTTTCGCATTCCCAGAGTACTTACTTCATCTTCTTCGATTTTGATTTTGCGTTCCACAATTAGCTTTCGAAATGGGTGATCTCGGAGGAAATCAAGCGCCGGAAATTAACAGCGTATTTGTGGAGACGAATCTGCAGACTCGTCTCGTCGTTCCGGTTGTTAAAAACGAATTCGTCTCCTCTTTCAAAGGTGAGAACAAAAAAAAAACGAAATCCATTGAATCAGTATGCTAAAGTCACTCAATTTCTTCCTTACTCCATTGAATCGGCTTCTAAACTTATAGTGATGTCGGTAATCGGATCATGATTTCGTTGTTTATTTACAGATCGGTTTCGCGAGGAGCATCATGAACATTTCACAGAAATTGGAGAAATCAGCATTGATGCGGTGAAGGTAAAACTCATAGCTTTTGGGGTTATACACGTTTTTTCTTTGTTAGCAGCAACTGATTGAGAGCGATGTGGTGTTTCTTTATACAACTAATTATGTTTTATGGTCAATGATTGATTAGCTGTCATAAACTCTGGTCCTAATATTTCGTTGTCCGTCTCTGATCATGTTTTGCAGGAGCTTGGAAGATGTACTGAGAAGATCAGCAGGCGAAACTGGGTGCTGAACAGTCACAAGCCGAGAATAAGTCTAGACAAATTGGCTTTAGGCAAATAAGTTTCATCCTTTTGGTCCAAAACCTGAGAAAAAAGATGTTTTAGAACTTGGAACCTTTCGTATTTTGGTTTTTCTTTTGTGACAGTTTTTATTGGTTAAAAAGTGCTCTTTGTAAGAGCTACTGTAACAACAACTTGAACAAATCGTGAAAAGATCTCTAGTGATTGTTTTCTCTTTTCTTACTTTAAACGGAAAACATATACTAATCGGGGACAACGTTTATGATAAGTACAAGCAGACACTATTTTTTTGTCCAACCTAACCCAACCCCACTCCTACAACGAGTTAGACACCGATAAATAAATTAGGACGGTCCATTTAAATTTGATACTCGTAAGTCGTAATTGTCAATTGTCTATGTGGCTCCTTCATTGTCAATAATTATTACGGGGTGTGTCATGTGTAACTTACCCGTAAGTTGCTGTGTTTCTTTTGTCAAAAACTAAACAACGCTAGCTAGTTTCATATTTTATGTGTAAGTTTTGTTTACTAATGCACTTACGATCAGTTAACTTGCGGTTATTCTAATCACATTTAACCCCCAGAAAAAGAAAAAAACTTACGTTTATTCATTTTTTTCAAACATATTCGATTTTCAAATAAATAAACCAATATGACAAATATTTTGCCGAGCACTATATTCAAATACCACCAACAAGGCAACAACACATCAGAAGCAAGGCAAAGAAGAAACAGTAAGGAAATGCATTCCCCCACAAAAACCATACCGTTGGAACACGACGTTGTGTGAAGCTCCTTGTCATGAAGGACTTGTGGATTTTCACTTGAGTATACGGCTGGAGGATCTCTTGCAGATATCTTGAAAGTAACAAAGAAAATGCCTGAGCCTGTTCTTTCATCAATGTTCCACAAACTTTTTTTTTTGGGTAAAATGTGAATGTTCCACAAACTTTTGCAAGTAGAGATACTTATCCCTCTCCAAATGTGCAAGCTGCAATCTTTTCGTGTTATGTTATGTGAATGTGAACTCATTCTTTCGTTTCAAGGGATTGAGAGCTACTTGCATGGAGCTCGACTTCTTGTTCATAGACACATCAAACCTGCGAATCTGCTTGTAAATCTAAAAGGAGAGCCTAAGATCACTGATTTTGGGATAAGTGATGTAATCTCTTGCTTGACCCCATGGGTCTAATATTTTTCTGAGTTTCTAACATATATATTATCTGAAAATTTTGGTTGCAGAGTGTGCTACTTTTGTTGGAACTGTCACTTACATGTCACATAAGCGGATTAGGAATGATAGTTATTCTTATCCAACGGATATATGGAACCTTGGTCTCGCCCTATTTGAATGTGCCACTGGAGAGTTTCCGTATAGCTAATGTATGAAAATTTGGGGTTGTGAAGCTTTTTCAAAACATTTACTCCCGGAAAATAAGCTTGGACCCAAATCTGATAAATGCTTCTTTGTTGGTTATCCAAACGAAACCCAAGGTTATTACTTTTACAACCCTGCCGAGACCAAATTGTTTGTTGCTCAAAATGGTGTCTTCCTAGAAAGAGAATTTCCTCTAAAAAGAACAGTGGTAGTGAAGTACAACTCGAAGAAGTTCGAGAGACATAGGAGGCTCCGAATTCTCAGAAAAAGCTTCAGTTAGATACTAGCAGTTGTAGTATCTACACCTGTAGAACCTGAAGTACGTAGGTCCAAAAGGGCTCGTCATGAACCTACTAGATATGGGGTTTGGGTGACAGACGATCATATGATCTATTTCTTATAGAAAGTGATGAAGCTACGTCTTTCGAGGAAGCAATTATGGGCCCTGATTCTGAAAAATGGCTAAAGGCCGCAGATTCCGAAATGGATTCCATGTCAGAAAACCAAGTATGGACTTTAGTTGATTTACCTGATGGTGTTAAAGCCATTGAGTGTAAATGGGTTTTCAAGAAGAAAATCGACATGGATGGTAATATTCAGATATACAAAGCTAGATTGGTGGCAAAAGGTTATAAACAAATTCATGGTGTAGACTATGATGAAACCTATTCCCCAGTTGCAATGCTTAAATCCATTCGGATTCTCCTAGCGACTGCCGCTTATTATGATTATGAGATATGGCAGATGGACGTGAAAACAGCTTTCCTTAATGAAAACTCGAAGAGGATGTATACATGATACAACCTGAAGGTTTCACAAGTCCTGAAAATGCTGGGAAAGTATGCAAACTTCAACGTGCCATATATGGGTTGAAGCAAGCATCTCGGAGTTGGAATCTTCGTTTTGATGAAGCGATCAAAGAGTTTGATTTCATTAGAAACGAAGAAGAACCGTGCGTTTACAAGAAGACTAGTGGGAGTGCAAGTTGCATTTTTGGTATTGTATGTAGATGACATACTTCTCATTGGGAATGATATTCCTTTGCTTAAGTCTGTAAAGGCTTGGCTGGGAAGTTGTTTTTCAATGAAAGACATGGGAGAAGCTGCTTATATCCTTGGAATAAGAATCTATAGAGATAGATTGAATAAGCTTATTGGACTTTGTCAAGACACTTATATAGATAAGGTCTTGCACAGGTTTAGTATGCATGATTCCAAGAAAGGCTTTCTACCAATGTCTCATGGCATTTCTCTTAGCAAGACGCAGAGTCCTTCGACACATGATGAGCGAGAGCGCATGAGTAGAATCCCATATGCTTCTGCTATAGGATCTATCATGTATGCCATGCTTTGTACTCGTCCAGATATTGCATGTGCTTTAAGTATGACGAGTAGATACCAATCAGATCCAGGTGAGAGTCACTGGACAGCAGTCAAAAACATCCTTAAGTATTTAAGAAACACTAAGGATAAGTTTTTGGTCTATGGAGGAAGTGATGAGCTTGTTTTGAGTGGTTACACTGATGCTAGTTTTCAGACAGATAAAGATGATTTCCGTTCACAATCTGGATTTATCTTTTGTCTTAATGGAGGCGCTGTGAGCTGGAAGAGCTCCAAGCAAAGCACCGTGGCAGACTCAACAACTGAAGCTGAATACATTGCTGCTTCTGAAGCGGCAAAGGAGGCTGTTTGGATTAGGAAGTTCATTACTGAACTAGGTGTGATTCCTAGTATACTAGCCCGGTGGATCTCTATTGTGACAATAATGGAGCCATTGCTCAGGCAAAGGAACCTAGATCACACCAGAAATCCAAACACATAGAAAGGCGATATCATCTCATTCATGATATTGTTGATAGAGGAGATGTGAAGATTAGGAGAGTCTCAACCCATGAAAATGTTGCTGATCCTTTGACGAAGTCTCTTACACAGCCTAAGCATGAGAGTCATACTATTGCTATAGGCACTAGATTTCTTTAACAGTGATCTTGTTTGCTAGTGGGAGCTTTTATTTTATTTCATGATATGATGTTCATTTTAACATACATTTGGTTATGTTTCGATTTTAATGAAATTTGTTTCAGAATTATTTAACTATTTTTATTAAATATTAGTCACAAAATATTTTATGTTATTCTAATAGGTCATCAAGTATGTGACTTGATCATTAAACCCTATAAGTGAAAATAATATAAATTATTGAAGTCCCTAGTCAAGGTTATTAATATGGGACATTAATAACTGAAATGACTAGTATGTGAGGTGACTGATGACTAAGTTTCATGAAGTCATTAATATGTTGTATTAAAGTCAATCACATGAATATGTGTTAGTGAACACAATATTGGACTGACCCGTCATGAGAACTTTACAAGATTGTTATATGAGTGTCATAAAAGTTTCTCATTGTAACTATAGAGTATAGTCCTTTAACCTGAGTTCATCATGATAATTTTCACATGGATTAGTGTGCTTTGACTTTGTCAAACGTTAACTGTAAAAGGTGATTATAAAAACAATGATTGGGCACATTATGAATTGTGTGAGATACATGGATGGAACAAGATGGGATTTGTCCCTCCTATGTAACGGGAGATTATGTCTCTGGGCTGTCGAAGATTTGATACTGAAAATGCATGGGCGTGTTCAAACGAGGTGAATGTCAATCGTTTGTTTTATCAGTATAAATCATAGTTTGATAAATGTGGTCTGGCTTAATAAGGATGACACCATTTCTTGCCTTATGCTAAGATCGAGATATAGTGACAAGAGGATTATGGGAATATATGATTCCAGTAATGTTTTAATTCAAATAAAATGTTTTAATTCAAATTGTTTGATTTATTTTCGAATTTAATTAATTAATGATTAATTTAATTAATTAATTGATTTAAAATAATTATTTTAATTATTTTAAAATATGGAAAATTATTATTTAATTATGAGAATTATTTAATAATTGAGAAATAGAGTTTTAATTATTAATAATTATTTAATAATTGGAAAATGGTATTTAATAATTATTGGAGTTTATAAATATTATTAAATATCTAGTAAACTGCGTAAATGGCTCGTAGGCAGAGTGATTGTCTCACTATACGCAACTCCATTTCAATATGTTGCAGGTAAAAGATTTGTGTGATCGCGGAATCATGGCTGAAGAGGGGGATGATAGGGTGTTTACTGTTTTATTGTTTTGCATTATTTTGCTAGACTTGTTTAATTATTATTTGCTTCCGCTGAGCTGATTTATTTGTTATTGATATTTTATTTATTTAATTTATTTCAAAGACCTTTGCTAGAATTGTTTAGTATTTAATAAATAAAAAAATAAAAAAAAGTGTTGGTTGTTTTATTTTGGTATCAGAGCCTAGACGGTTTTAGGATTGTTAGAATTGCTAGGCTTTAGTATCATCCCCTTCAGCTACAAGAGATTCCGCGGTGAGTTTATGTTTGTTTTGAGTTTTGGTTGCGTGTTCTAGTGTGCTCTTTTCGGTTCCATGAGTGAGATGGACTGAGTAGCTAGAGGTTGTGGTGCGAGAGGGCGCGGTGCTTGAGCCCGTGGTGGCAGAGCTAGAGGCTGTCGAGGTCGAGGCCGAGATTGTGGACTTCGGCGGATTCGGGAGAGAGTGTGGTGCCGAGTGTGGCGACTGCATCGGTGACCCAGTCAGTATCCGTGGCGAGTGAGGCCAGTGTGGATGCGAGGATTGGTTTGGGAGCGGAGGCTGCTCCGGGTTGGGGTGGTGCTCTGGCTCAGGGTCTTGATGACTTAGTGGTGGGTTTGCTGACGCAGTTATTGGCTCGTTTTCTGCCAGTGGTTCCACAAGGGGCTCCGGGAGTACCTGTAGTGGCAGAGGTGCAGCAGAGGGCTGCGGGATTTGTTCAGCTGCAGGCTGTGGGTTTGATGGTGCCGTCCTACTTGGATATGTTGGGGCACATGCAGAGGATTGGTATGCCGTACTTTGAGGACGGAGTTAGCCCAGAGGCGGCTGATGATAGGATTTTACGTGGGTGTGATATGATATGAATGAAGTGATAAGATATGAGGTGGAATGCAAACAGGGGTGAATAAAGATGAAATGGTGCAATCACAATCAATCAATTCCTCTTAACCATCATAGTCATGTAGTACAAGAGGTTATCAATCCAAAATGGGAAACTTGTCACTCTATGAGAATATGAAACAACCAGAAAGTCAAGCAAGCAGTAATAGATTTGAAGTAACACTAACAACCTAAATAAAATGAAATGCAATGCAATAAAAGTAAACAAAGCAGTGAAGTAGCAGCTCGACCAAGGACTCGAGTCGAGTCAGGAACAAAGTACCAGCTCGATCGAGTTTAGGGACGAGTTGAGACAAACAAAGCTAAAGGTGACGACTTTAACAAGATAAGAGAGAATTAGGGTTCAAGACAGGGTTTTGCAATCAAGGAATCTACACTTAATCATCTAGCTCTTAAAACTCCTTGTATCAAGGCTTCTCTTGATATTGGGCTTCTCAATGCCTAGCCAACCCTTTCCCAAGGTGAAGGCTATCAACCAAGGAATGATCTCAGAAACAGGGGGTTAGCCAGTGAGAATCAAACCTTGGAGGCTATAGGATCATTGCCCAAACTAATCCATCCAACCCCTTAGACCTCTATTTCTAGAGCAAGAGATATTGGAGCTCTTAGTGGATCTTTTCCAGCGAATGCCATCACTTTCGTGTGGGGAGTCGCCTAAGGACTTACAAGCCAGGGGTAGTGGTCATGTAGCCTTAAGATCTATCCAAAAGAGAGAGAATCTAGATTAAGACCATAAGCTAGAAGGATTAAGCATATGAAACCTCTAATCTATCCCATCTCAAACCCTAATGGGTAACTACTCACTACACATGAATGTAAACACAAGCAAATGCAATAAAAGAGACATCATAAGAAAGAGGAGATGAAATTAAACAACTTTTATTGAAATAAGCAAGTGCAAATACAAAGAGATTATCCAGGATCTAGATTCAAGAAGCAAGAGCTTCAAGAACACAAAGATGGGATTAGTCTCTAAAAAGTAAAAGACAATAAATTAAAAGAAACTAAAACAAAATAATCTAAAGCTTGGTGGTTTTTTCGTGGCTTAGAGCCTTTAAATACAAGAGGATTTTAGGTTTAGGGTCAAAGGAAAGTCAAGGGGGAAGCAACATTTTTCGGGTTTGACTGTTGACTTCTCAGCTCGATCGAGTTGAAGCTTGGCCGGTCGAGTTGAGGAACTCGACCGGTTGGTCGAGTAGACGGTCGAGCTGGTCTTCAAGATGGCTTCTCCCTTCTTCCTTTGCGTATCCAGTTGAGCTGCGTCCATGTGCCAAGTCCCTCCATGCTCCTCATGTCCCATATGCTCCAGAATGCTCCAAAAGACCTATTTCAAAGGACCAAACATGCATATGTATGCAAATGCAACCTAAAACTAACATGAATGCATAAGAAGAGAAAAGGAACAAGATATGATGCAAATGGAAGCTAAAACTATGCAAAAGATGCATAAAAGATGTGCTAAAACTATGTAAAATGCAAGTACATCAGCGGAAGATGAGTGGCGTCAGAGATTGGAGCGGAATTTCCAGTCTATCAGATTTCTGGTTTAGTACCAGGTTGAGTTGGCAGTCCACTATCTGAGTGGAGATGCACATTTGTGGTGGCAGGCCATCGAGGGCATAATGGTTGTTGTTGCTGTGTGTTGTTCATTTATCTGTGATAAAATTGTTGAGGTTCTCAACGCATGTGTGTAATGACCTTGTTAGTGGGCGGTTTTGAGTCCCACGTTTTATTCGACTCTGGAGCATCGAATTGCTTCATTACACCGGAGCGTGCCGAGAAGAGTGGCATCCGGAGTAGCGCGGGCGAGAGCGCGGGCATGGTCAAGGTGGCGGGAGGTGGATTCTTGTCTACTTTGGGCCGTGCTAGAGGAGTCGAGATCGAGATTGCGGGGCAGTCAATGCCAGCAGACTTAGTCATCAGTCCGGTGGAGCTGTATGACGTTATTCTCGGGATGGACTGGTTGTCACACTACAGAGTTCATCTGGATTGCTACAGAGGTAGAGTGGTCTTCGAGCGAGATGCAGGGAGGTTGGTTTATCAGGGAGTGAGACCGACTTCCGGGAGTATTGTGATATCTGCTATTCAGGCCGAGCAGTTGTTAGAGCGGGGCTGTGAGGCGTATCTGGCGACGATTTCTATGTCTGAGTCAGGAGCTGGAGTTGTTATGGGAGATATTGAGGTTGTCCAGGATTTTGAGGATGTCTTTCAGTCACTGAAGGGATTACCACCATCTCGGTCTGATCCTTTCACGATTGAGTTAGAGCCGGGGACAGCACCGATATCGAAGACGCCTTACAGGATGGCGCCAGCTGAGTTGGCAGAGCTGAAGAAGCAGATAGAGGACCTTTTGTCTAAGGGGTTCATTCGACCGAGTGTTTCACCGTGGGGAGCACCGGTGTTGTTTGTGAAGAAGAAGGATGGAGTTTCAGACTTTGTATCGATTACAGAGGTCTTAACCGAGTCACTGTGAAGAACAGGTACCCACTCCCGAGGATTGATGAGTTGTTGGATCAGTTGAGGGGTGCTACTTGGTTCTCCAAGATTGACTTGGCGTCGGGTTATCATCAGATCCCGATAGATGAGGCAGATGTCAGGAAGACTGCTTTCAGGACGCGTTATGGGCATTTTGAGTTTGTGGTTATGCCTTTCGGTTTGACTAACGCGCCGGCAGCCTTCATGAGATTGATGAACGACGTGTTCAGGGAGTATTTGGACGTGTTTGTCATCATTTTCATTGATATTCTGGTATACTCGAGGAGTCAGGAGGAGCATGCGACTCACTTGAGGTTGGTTCTGGAGAAGCTTCGGGAGCAGAAGCTTTTTGCTAAGTTGAGCAAGTGCAGTTTCTGGCAGTGCGAGAGATTGTGAGGCTGCATGGAGTGCCAGCTAGTATTGTGTCAGACCGTGATCCCAGATTCACTTCAGAGTTTTGGAGGGCGTTTCAGGCAGAGATGGGCACTAAGGTGCATCTGAGTACAGCTTATCATCCGCAGACAGATGGTCAGTCAGAGAGGACTATTCAGACTTTGGAGGATTTGCTGAGGATGTGTGTGTTGGATTGGGGTGGCCATTGGGCAGATCACCTGAGCTTAGTTGAGTTTGCATACAACAACAGCTTTCAGGCGAGTATTGGCATGGCTCCATTTGAGGCTTTGTATGGGAGGCCATGTAGGACACCCCTATGCTGGACCCAAGTGGGGGAGCGCAGCATGTATGGAGCTACTTATGTTCAGGAGACGACAGAGAAGGTCGTGTTGTGAGGCTGAACATGAAGGAGGCTCAGGATAGGCAGAAGAGTTATGCAGATAGACGCAGACGAGAGCTTGAGTTTCAGGTGGGAGATAGAGTTTATCTCAAGATGGCTATGTTGAGGGGTCCTAACAGATCCATAGCAGAGAACAAGCTGAGTCCGCGTTTTATGGGTCCGTTTCCAGTAGTGGAGCGAGTTGGGCCATTGGCTTACAGGCTGGAGTTGCCTGAGATTATGAAAGCCTTTCACAAGGTTTTTCATGTGTCGATGCTGAGGAAGTGTCTTCACCCTACAGAGGAGTTAGTGGCTAGGATTCCAGAGGATCTTCAGCCAGATTTGACAGTGCCGGCAGTGCCTGTGAGGATTTTAGAGAGGAGGGAAAAGGTTCTGAGGAACAAGAGGATTCCCTTACTGAGGATTTTGTGGGATTGCAGTGGTTCTACAGAGGAGACTTGGGAGCCAGAGGCAAAGATGAAGTTGAAGTTCAGGAAGTGGTTCGACAAGCAGGTCGAGGAGTGAGCTTATTTCATCTTTGTAGCCTCAGTTGTTATTTTTGGCTTTGGTGTTATTGTATTTTCGTTTTCGTTGTAACGATATACATTTTGGAGTTTTAATGAGATGCAGTTTTTCCTCATTTTGCCTTGTGTTGTGAAATGGTATTCGGATGTTACACATGTTTGACCAGTTTTTGGTTGTGAGACGGTCTAATCTTATGGTTATAGACATTTTCCGGAATTTTTACTCTAAGGATTGCGATCCTGAATAACTCATCATGTTTTTGGAGACTTCGTTCTCTGGCAGACTCTCTGGGTGCAAGTAGGCCTCAGTTGAGTGTAGCTTATCTGGGTGCAAGTAGGCCTCAGTATAAGCAGTTTAGTTCATCTGGGTGCAAGTGGGCCTCAGTATGGACGTTTCGGGTTCGTCTGGGTGCAAGTGGGCCTCAGTGCGGACCGGTGTGGACTTGTCTGGGTGCAAGTGGGCCTCAGTACAAGTGGTTTGTGTGTTTGGATGATGAGTTAGGAGTGAAAATTTCTTGGAACGTGCTTATGACATAAGATTGATTGTCTCGGGGATCAGTGAGGATCTCCAGTGTTGCGGCCTTGCGAGGTCGGGTTTTGTGGTCTTTGTGACGTTTGTTTGTTGGGATTCGAGGACGAATCCAGTTTAGTGGGGGAGAGTTGTAACATCCATAAACCAAATAATTGAATTGATTTGTCGGTTCAATTTAAGTGAATTGGTTTGGGTCGGTTTAGTGGAGAAAGCCCTAAAATCAAGTTTAAAGAGTGCAGCCGTCTTCTCTTTGGAGAATTTTCGAGTTCAGAGAAGGAGAAAAGTTGAGTTTTTGGAGAGATTTTCGATTTTACTGTTCATCGGGTACTGTTCATCGGTACTGTTCACGGGTTACTGTTCATCGGTACTGTTCATCCGCGATTCGGCACTGTTCATCGTCTTTCCTTTTTCCTTCAGTTTCAATCATTGTCAAGGTGAGTGCATGACTGTGGGTCCGTGATTTGCTAGATTAGATTTGGTTTGTGGTTGTTCTTGATGAGTTTATGTGTTTAATTGTTATTTTATGATATTTTGGTTGTTTATGTGATGAATTGTGTGTTTGTGTGGTTTAATCTTGGTTTAAATTGATTTGATTCTGGTTTATTTGGTTAATTGAATTTAAAATTGGTTTTAATTCAAATTGTTTGATTTATTTTCGGATTTAATTAATTAATGGTTAATTTAATTAATTAATTGATTTAAAATAATTAATTATTTTAAAATATGGAAAATTATTATTTAATTATGAGAATTATTTAATAATTGAGAAATTGAGTTTTAATTATTAAAAATTATTTAATAATTGGAAAATGGTATTTAATAATTATTGGAGTTTATAAATATTATTAAATATCTAGTAAATTGCGTAAATGGCTCGTAGGCAGAGTGATTGCCTCACTAAGTATTTATTAAATACTTACGCAACTCCATTCCAATGTGTTGCAGGTAAAAGATTTGTGTGATCGCGGAATCAAGGCTGAAGAGGGGGATGATAGGATGTTTACTGTTTTATTGTTTTGCATTATTTTGCTAGACTTGTTTAATTATTATTTGCTTCCGCTGAGCTGATTTATTTGTTATTGATATTTTATTTATTTAATTTATTTTAAAGACCTTCGCTAGAATTGATTAATATTTAAAAAAAAAATGTTGGTTGTTTAATTTATTATTTTTTTCATTCAATAATTAATTTCTTATTTTCCTTTTTATTCTTATTTGCAAATTTCCATTTTTTTTAATATATATATATTTTCTTTTATTCCAAATTACTATTATTACTTTAACATACTAATTTTAGTAAATTTCCTATTTTACAAATATTTTACTATTAATTAGATTTTAATAATTGAGATGTCCACATAGGAATCTTAAACTGTATTTTGGTCCATGTCATTATTATTATTTTTTCATTAATAATTAATTTTTTAATTTTGTTTTATTCTTATTAGCAAATTACCAGTTTTTAATATCCATATATTTCTTTTATTCCACATCAGTATTATTACTTTAACATATTAATTTTAGTAAATTTCCTATTTTACAAATATTTTACTATTAATTAGATTTTAATAATTGTAACTTTTATATAAATTATCTAATAAACAATAACATTTGAAGGTGTCTTTTATATTAGTGGAAAATTGATTGGGAAGCCCATATTATCTATTATGGCCTATTTAACCATTCATTTTAATGAAATCTTAAACATCTCTATGAAGCATTTTTCATTGCAAATGCACTAATTAATTAGACAAACAAATTTCTATTTTTAGCAACAAGGTGTTGTGGTGTAGCAAATAAATTCAATTTGATTGGTACACATAAGCATCTTAAAAGAATTTCTAAATTCTATTTTTATTCGTATTAAAGTGTTTAGAAAATAGAAAAATTAGATTTCTAATGACATAAAAAGAAAAATTACTCCCTATGATTTGTTTTTTATATAAATTTCGTTTTGCATGATATAAAATATACAATATTTAAAATTATATATTATTAATATGTTACATATTCATTTTATTATTTTGAACAAAATATTATATTGTATCTAATCATCAACATGTTATTAATTGGTTGATTTATATGCAATATATCATATATTATAGTGAAAATAATATTTTGGCTTAAAGATATGTAGAAACTAAAAACTGCAACTATTTACAATTTTTGGAAAGCTATTGAATAACCGGAAAATGGATCAACATGAACGATCACTAGCTTAATTCAAGTATATGCCAAAACAAGAAATCTGATTTTTCAGTATAAAACATGGATCTAATTAAGTGTCATTAATGGATGTTTGGAAATTATTAGAAAGATTTGGGGCTAAGAGGATTTGGTATGAATCGTGACCTTCAACGACATGTAGTCTCTAAAATTCTGAATTGAAATGTTTGGTAGTGTGCATATAATTAAAGCAGATTTATCAACACATACGCTCAGGTTTTTAGTGGTCTCAAATTTTAAAATAAATTATTTTTTTCAGTAAAAGTTACTCCCTATGACTTTTTTTTTTTTAAATTTCGTTTTACTAAATATAAAATATACAATATTTAAAATTATAAATTATTAATATGATACATATTCATTTTATTATTTTGAACAAATATTATATTGTATCAAAGAATCAACATGTTATTAATTTATTGATTTATATGCACTATATCATATATTATTTTAAAATATGTTATTTTTTCAAGAAAATTATTTAATTATTAAATAAAAATAATGATATATTGAAGAGTCAGTTATTGGGAAGTTTCAAAATTACACCTTTTGAGGTGCCAATTTTCAAAAATACACCTCTATGGTGTTCATTTTCAAAACTACACTTTTTTCATGGAGTAAAAGAATTCTAAACCCAAAAATATAAACCCAAAACCCTAAAATCTAACATTGAACCCTTAAATCTAAACCCCAAAATCTAAAACCTAATCTAGGATTAGTGAACCCAAACATATATAATAAAATTAGAAAAAGTGTATTTTTAAAAATTTCCACACTATAGGTGTAGTTTTGAAAATTTACACTTCAAAAGGTGTATTTCTTAAAATTTCTCAAGTTTCAAACCTACATTGAAAAGAATGAAGAGTAACACTGCCAATAAGCTAAAGGAACATTTAGTAACATAACATGTGCCTTTCAAGTTTTATATATCTTTTGGTGGCGTAACTTCTATGTTTTCCCACCTTTATATAGGGTCAAGGTGATAAAAGTGATGTAGAGATTTATGATTTCGACGAAATTGATTTTCAAATGAGATTTAATTTAAGATTTTTGAGAAACAGTGGCAAAAAGTCACATTTATGAATATTCATATTTGCATTTTAAAGGTGAAGGTAACGAGTTTCTAATTTCACAGATGACTTAACTGTTTCCAGATTTATTTCAATATTTTGTTTGAGGTCCTGGAACTAATTTCAATATAAACCTGCATGAATTCCAACACGGAAGTCTTAAAACCATAAAATGAATAGTCATCAGTTCAACAATATCAAGCGGAAGCGGAAGCACATAACTTAAATCAAAAAAATAATTCTAGCAACTTAAACACAAGGTTTGACTAGCAACTTAAGAAATAAAACAATTTCCTATCATCCTCTTATTCCGCCTTGATTCCGCGGTCACATTGATCTGTTACCTGCATCACAATACAAAAGAGATGCGTAAGTATTATCATAAATACTTAGTGAGACGATCATCCCACCTATAGGCCCCTTACGCAAATCACTAAACAAGCAAGCAACCAATAAACAGCAAACAGCGAACAACAGCAACCAAATTTCCTTGGTGTCGACCGACACCAACTTGCTGTCGCTCGACACCAACTCGCAAAGAACAATTCCAAAACAAGGGATTCAACACCCAAAATCGATCAAACAAGCATGATAACTCAAGATCAACACAAGAACATAACAAACAAAACGAATCCTAGTGAATCACGGGCATATGGTCACGCACTCACCTCTAAAACGAATTGAACAGAGGGAAAACGGATGAAGAACCGAAGAACAGCCACCAACAGCCTTTGATTCGCTCAAGAACACCATAAATCTTCCAAAAATCGCCTCTCTAGAACCTCTTCCTCCACAAAACGACAAAAACACGAAGGAGAAAAACAACTTGAGAAATAAAACAATTTCCTATCATCGTTTTATTTAGAGATGTCAACTTAATCTGCGGCCCGCGGGTTGGCCCGTTTAGATCCGCTATGGGCGGGTTCGGGTTCACAATTTCAGGCCCAAAAATTAGCGGGTCTCGCGGTCCAGTCTGTTTAGGGTTTGCGGGTACTAGCGGATATAACTGCGGCCGGGCGGGTCGGTTTGCGGATTATCCGCAAAAAGCTTTCTCTCAGGATTTATCCGATTTCAGAACCCTGACCGACAATTTTTTCTTCGCAATGAACTGATTAGATCGAGCTTTGCATGCAAGTGCTTGTGGTTAGGGAAGTCTAGACCTTGAATGCAAAGCTCGATCTCAGTCCAATAATCATGAGAAGCTCGAAGATCCGCTCTCCAATCGACGAATCTAAAGAAGTTCTCTCCGATTTCAATTCCCATGGACTGCGATTTCAGGTTTTGATTATTATGTCATTACTTCATAAGGCAATAAGTTAAAAGTTTTTTCAACACATGTATGGTTCTATTTTTACACACAACAAGAGAAGCAATCGCAGTCTATAAACGCTTAAAGAGAATAATAAGTTGCAGGTTTTGTTGACCCGCGGGCTGACCCGCATAACCGCCAAGACCAAGCGGTGCAGGTTAGGGTCGAGCATCTTGACACCGCAGCCAGCAGCGGTTCAACCCGCTTGACCCGCCAGAGAAGTGAAACCGCGGCGGTTCGGCCCGTATCCACGCGGTCCAGCCCGTTTGACATCTCTAGTCTTATTCGGCCTGGATTCCGAGATCACATTAATCTTTTACCTGCATCACAATACGAAAGAGATGCATAAGTAGTATCATAAATACTTACTGAGACGATCATCCCACCTTAAGGTCTGTTACGCAAATCACTAGACAAACAAGCAACCAATAAACAGCAACACCGAACAACAGCAACAAAATTTCCTTGGTGTCGATCGACACTAAAGTGGTTTCAGTCGACACATGACCTCTGGTGTCGCTCGAAACCGACTCGCAGAGAACAATCCCAAAACAACTAATCGACGCACAAACACCTCAAACAAGGGATTCAACACCTGAAATCAATCAAACAAGCATTATAACTCAAGAACATCACAAACAAAACGAATTCTAGTGAATCACGAGCCTATGGTCACGCACTCACTTCTAAAACGGATTGAACATAGGGAAAACGGATGAAGCAACAAAGAACAGCCTCCAACAACCTTTGATTCGCTCAAGAACACCAGAAATCTTCCCAAAATCGCCTCTCTAGAACCTCTTCCTCAACAAAACGACAAAAACTCAAAGGAGAAAGACGACTGCCTCTTTTTTATTCGCGAAATAGGGTTTCGAGGCCCTAAACCGGCTCAAACAAGAACTTAAATCGAACCGGATTCGAATTTTAACCATTGGTGTCGACCGATACCCTCCCTGGTGTCGCTCGACACCAAAATCTCAACTCGGAAGTTTGTCTACAGATGTTACACACTCTCAATTCTCAATTCTCTCTCTCTATATATATATATATATATTAAATATAAACTTTACACATTTTTTTCTTTTTGCACATACCATAATTTAAAACTTTAAAACTCTAAAACTACATTATTTTCAATTAAATTTACTTTTTGGTTTATAGCATACTTCTTGTGTAGGAGTTTAGAATTTTAGATTTTGAGTTTATTTTCTAGGAAAATTTAACTTGAAGCTGTTTCATTAATTTTTAATTAAAACGGAATAGAAATGTCTCTTCATTATGGAATGATGCATACTCCTTTACAATTCCTAATGCAAGATAAATAATTTTGTTTTGTTAAGTTTTTGAAATTGAATTAGTTTATGTAAAAATATCTTAGCAAAAAAAAATGGAAGAGATACCAAAATTTTTTTGTTTTACTGAAAGAGAAAAATTTCAAGTATAAAAAATTTATTAGTTGACATAGAAAAATTTAAAGTATAAAAAATTTATCAAACAATACATACTTGCTCTGCATGTTATCTATTATATGTCATTTTCTCGTTTTTGAAAAAATATGTGGTTATTATACAATATTTTTATAATTAAGAGGTGACTTTTTTTGCATCTCTATTGATATTGTTATAAACTGGTAAAATAATGAGTTATGAAATTAATTGTGATTGTTTGGTGAATTGTTATATTTCTGAACTCTTGTTTTTTCTCTCAAATTTTTCACTAAAATAAAATAAAAGAGAAACACAGAAAAAAAGATATGGTATGAAATCGTGATTTATTTTTATTAATATCAAAGATATGGAAAATTTTATTGTAAACAAATAATGGAAGAAAACTTAAGCAAAATCTTAGAGAAAAAAATTGTTATAATTTTGAGAGGATAAATCAATAAATATAATAGATTAAAGAGAAATTTTATGAAATACACCTCTTGAGGTACAAATTTTTAAAACTACATCTATAGTGTGGAAATTTTCAAAAATACACCTTTTCCCAATTTTAATATATATGTTTGGGTTCACTAATCCTATATTAGTTGTAGTTGATTAGAAGATAATATGAAAAAAAAAATGTCAATTTATAAGATAATTGTTAGCGGGTCAAAATTTATAACAAATTAGGTCAAAATAACATATAAATAATCATTCAGTGATGAATTGCATATAATTAAATAATCATGAGCATACGGTCATGAACTCACCTCAAAACGGTGTGAAAGAGAGAAAGGAGGAAGATGGTGATGAACAACACTTCGATTTGACCCAAAAACTCTGAAATCTCTCCAAAAATCTCTGATAGCCTCAATCTTCGCCGGATCTACAGAAACTCCCTTTGCAAAAACAATGAGACCCAAAAATCCCATCTGTTGCTGCCAGAAACTGCACTTGCCCAACTTGGCGAAAAGCTTCAGCTTCTGCAGCTTCCTCAAAACCAATCTCACATGAGTCTTGTGCTCCTTAGGACCCCTTAAATACACCAAAATATCGTCGATGAAGATGATAACGAACATATCCAAATACTCTCTGAACACGTCGTTCATCAACCTCATAAAAGCTGCCGGCCCGTTAGTCAAACCGAAAGGCATGACCACAAACTCAAAATGCTCATATCTCGTCCTGAACGCTGTCTTACGAACATCTGCCTCATCTATCAGGATCTGGTGATAATCCGATGCCAAGTTCATTTTGGAGAACCAAGTAGCACCCCTCAGATGATCCAACAACTCACCAATCATTGGGAGAGGGTACATGTTCTTCTCTGTAACTCGGTGAAGTCCCCGGTAATCGATGCATAACCGAAAAATCCCGTCCTTCTTCTTCAAAACAACACTGGCGCTCCCCATGGCGAAACAATACGCCGAATAAAACCCTTACTCAAAAGGTCATCTACCTGCCTCTTCAGCTCTGCTAACTCTGCTGGAGCCATCCTCTAAGGCATCTTAGATATCGATGCTGTTCCCGGCTCTTGCTCAATCATGAAAGGATCAGACCGAGATGGTGGTAATCCCTTCAGCAACTGAAACACATCCTCGAACTGCTGAACAACCCGGATATCGCCAATAGCCACTTCACCACCGAACTCTAACATAGAAATCATCGCCAAATATGCCTCACAACCCCGCTAAAACATCTGCTTAGCCTGAATAGCAAATATCACAATATTCCCGGAAGTCGGTCTCACTCCTTGAAACACTAACCTCCTTGTATCCCGCTCAAACACCACTCTGCCTCGATAACAATTCAAATGAACTCGTGTCGCTCAACACGGACTCGCAGCCAACAATCCGAAATCAATAAAACAACACATTAACATGAAATCAACGGGATTCAACTCGTATAAACGATTACGCAAAACAACAAGAACCCAACAAGAACTCATCACAAAACTGGAACCACAATCTACAAATCTACCTTTTACGAGCCTACGGCCGCAAACTCACCTCAAAAAGGATTGAAAAGGGGAAAAGGATGCAAACAGCGAAGAACTACGAACGGCACTTCTATCTGACTCCAAAACTCGGATTTTCTCCACAAAATCGCCTCTTTTCTTCTTTCAAACTCTGTGCCTCGAAAACTGTGAAGAGAAAAATTGGCTGGCCTCTCTTAACTCGAGCCTTACGGTTTTTCTCCCATAACCAGCGAAAACCGGATAACGTAAATTGAACTGAAAATCGATTCCAATAGCCGGTGTCGGCCGACATTCTCGTGGTGTTGCCCGACACAATTTCCAAAACTCAGTAGTTTGGTTTGCGGATGTTACAACTTTCTTCATGTCTTCTTCAAAGTCAAATCTGAATTGGAAGCAGTTGTTACCTAGGTCAGATCCTATGGCTCTTCTTCTTAGTTCCCATTTCTTTGAGACGAAAGGGATCATAGACCACAGTTTTTGTTCCTTTTGTAAGTCGACCAATGAGTGTAATCGAGTATCCCGGATGAGGTCAGAAGTGTCGAACACTAGAGCTTTAATGCGTTTAAAAGGCGGTGGACTCAGAGCAAGGTCTATTCCTTTGCTCTTTTCTGCGTATGAGAATCATCTAGCCATTGGAGGAGAGCTTCGCTGAAGTTTGGGATTTTTTTATTTGTGTTGTAGGTTTTGTGAAGAAGAAGAGGGGAGAAAGAGCTGAGTAGAGGGGGTAGAGAAGCAGAGAGATAGGAGGCTTACCGGCGTCGGGAAAGGACCCTCCGACCCGAAGGTGGGGGCCGAATCACGGCGAGGTTAACACAGAGTTGGCTTAGATTCGAAAAAACATTCTACTTTGGGTAAGAAAAGTGGTTTCCGACGTTTAGAAAGTGGCAGGACCAAACGTGAAACAACCAACACTTTTTTTTTATAGTTAAATCTTAACAAGTCTAGCGAAGGTCTTTAAAATAAATTAAATAAATAATAATCAAATAACAATATCAATTCAGCGGAAGCAAAACAATTAAATAAAGCTAGCAAAACAATTAAACAATTAAATCCACACCGGTTCGCAGTGAGGCCCACTTGCACCCAAACAAACCCAAAACCGCTAATACTGAGGCCTACTTGCACCCAGATAAGCTACACTCAACTGAGGCCTACTTGCAACCAGAGAGTCTGCCAGAGAACCAAAGTCTCCAAAAACCATGATGAGTTATTCAGAATCGCGATCCTTAGAGTAAAAATTCTGGAAAACGTCTATAACAATAAGATTAGCCCATCTCATAACCATAACTGGTCAAACACATGTAACATCCGAACACCATTTTCACAACACAAGACAAAAATGAGGAAGAACTACATCTCATTAAAACTCCAAAATGTATATCGTTACAACGAAAACGAAAATACAATAACACCAAAGCCAAAAACAACAACTGGGGCTACAAAGATGAAATAAGCTCACTCCTCGACCTGCTTGTCGAACCACTTCCTGAACTTAAACTTCATCTTTGCCTCTAGCTCCCAAGTCTCTGATGTACTTGCATTTTGCATGGTTTTAGTACATCTTTTATGCATCTTTTACATAGTTTTAGCATCCTTTAGCATCATATCTTGTTCCCTTTTCTCTTCTTGTGCATTCATAGTAGTTTTAGGTTGCATTTGCATACATATGCATGTTTGGCCCTTAGAATAGGTCTTTTGGAGCATTTTGGAGCATATGGGAAGTGAAGAGCAGGGAAGGACTCGGTGCATTCTCTAGCTTACAAAGCTCACCAATGGGAGAAGAGCTTGCCCCATGGCACAGTCACCACTTGGGATGAATGCAAGAAGACCTTTCTTGCAAAGTTTTTCTCCACCGGTCGCACAGCCAAGCTTAGGAGTAAGATATCAAGCTTCATACAAAAAAACAATGAGACATTTGCTGAGGCTTGGGAGAGGTTCAAGGGCTACTGATGATAGGATTTGTGTGTGGATGTGAAAAGATATGAAATGAGATGTGTGGAATGCAATCAGTGGTATATGATGAGGTGGTAAGATGCAAACACAAACACAGTCAACAATTCCCTTTAACCATGATAGTCACTCTATGAGAATATGAAACAACAAGAAAGTCAAGCAAGCAGTAAAGATTTGGTAACACTAACAACCTAAATGAAACAGAAATGAAATGCAAAAGTAAACAAAGCAGTAAACAACAGCTCGACCAAGACTCGAGTCGAGTGGAACAGAGTACCAGCTCGATCGAGTTTAGGGTCGAGTTGAGAAAACAGCTAAAGGTGACGACTTTAACAAGATAAGAGAGAATTAGGGTTCAAGACAGGGTTTTGCAATCAAAGGAATCTACACTTAATCAATCTAGCTCTTAAAACTCCTTGTATCAAGGCTTCTCTTGATATTGGGCTTCTCAATGCCTAGCCAACCCTTTCCCAAGGTGGAGGCTATCAACCAAGGAATGATCTCAGAAACAGGGGGTTAGCCAGTGAGAATCAAACCTTGGAGGCATAGGATCATTGCCCAAACTAATCCATCCAACCCCTTAGACCTCTATTTCTAGAGCAAGAGATATTGGAGCTCTTAGTGGATCTTTTCCAGCGAATGCCATCACTTCCGTGTGGAGAATCGCCTAAGGACTTACAAGCCAGGGGTAGTGGTCATGTAGCCTTAAGATCTATCCAAAAGAGAGAGAATCTAGATTAAGACCATAAGCTAGAAGGATTAAGCATATGAAACCTCTAATCTATCCCATCTCAAACCCTAATGGGTAACTACTCACTACACATGAATGTAAACACAAGCAAATGCAATAAAAGAGACATCATAAGAAAGAGGAGATGAAATTAAACAACTTTTATTGAAATAAGCAAGTGCAAATACAAAGAGATTATCCAGGATCTAGGATTCAAGAAGCAAGAGCTTCAAGAACACAAAGATGGGATTAGAGCTCTAAAAAGTAAAAGACAATAAATTAAAAGAAACTAAAACAAAATAATCTAAAGCTTGGTGGTTTTTTCGTGGCTTAGAGCCTTTAAATACAAGAGGATTAGGTTTAGGGTCAAAGGAAAGTCAAGGGGGAAGCAACATTTTTCGGGTTTGACTGTTGACTTCTCAGCTCGATCGAGTTGAAGCTTGGCCGGTCGAGTTGAGGAACTCGACCGGTTGGTCGAGTAGACGGTCGAGCTGGTCTTCAAGATGGCTTCTCCCTTCTTCCTTTGCGTATCCAGTTGAGCTGCTTCCATGTGCCAAGTCCCTCCATGCTCCTCGTCCCATATGCTCCAGAATGCTCCAAAAGACCTATTTCAAAGGACCAAACATGCATATGTATGCAAATGCAACCTAAAACTAACATGAATGCATAAGAAGAGAAAAGGAACAAGATATGATGCAAATGGATGCTAAAACTATGCAAAAGATGCATAAAAGATGTGCTAAAACTATGTAAAATGCAAGTACATCAACACCCCCAAACTTGAACTTTGCTTGCCCTCAAGCAAACAAATAGAACAAGAAAGAGATGAGGTTTGAAAAAAGCTGATTCAACACTTAAAAACATGTCCTCAAAAGCGATTTGCTAAATGTCCAACTTAGAGATTCTAGAATGCAACAAGGTGAGAGATATTCATTAAGATTTAACCATGCTTATCAACATCAATCCCACTTCACAGTCACTCAAACAATGCATTCAAATCAGCAAATCCCTTTAACATTCATTAAGCAAAAACAGTGAACCAAAAACATGCAAGATCAATCAACTCATTTGGTTTCAAGGGTTTATGGGTTAAGAGACAAAGAGGGTCTCTTTTGTATGGTGGTTTAGTAACAGGGATCTCTCAAGAAAGTGGCTTTGCTTTGGCAGAAGGCTAAGTGTTAGAACCAAAGATGATGCAAGAACAGCAGCTCGAGCCGCCTAATCCTAACTCGATCGAGTTCAACACTTAGAGCTTTTTAGAACAAAATCCTAACTACCCTTTTTGGCATTTCGCCTTTGAAACTGAGGAGCTTTGCTCACTTTTCTTTTAAGAACTTCCTAGGGAGAGGCTTCTTGAGGTAACATCTAGCGGTTTGGGATTTTCTAAACACTTAGGGAACTTTTCTTTCTTTTTGACACTTGAGGCTTTGCCTTCTTTTCATTCTACTTAGAACCCTTTTTACTTCCTTTTTTAACTTCCCAAACCTTTACTAGACCCTTTTTAACACTGCCAACTCCCTGGACTTAACTAAACTCTTTTTCCTTTGGGTTTTTCCCAACTTTTACCACTTTTCTGGTTTTTACACCCAACTCGATCGAGCTCGAGTTGGCACCCCCAAACTTAGCCTGAAAACAATCCCAAGAGAACTAGACAACTAGAACTACTGCCCCTGCCGGTTTAAACACAACACCTTATGCTAAGCAAAGCCAAGAAAGGTTCTCACATTCGCACAAGAGATAAAATGGGGTTTGAAATGAAAAGGCTTAGGTTTAAGGTGTGGTAACTGTCTCAAAGATAGAGATCAGCTATCTGGACAAGCAAAGGGATATGAAAAGTGTAAAGAATGTCCAGATATGTATGTGGTAGCCATGAGTTGAAATCAAATGCAAGCATTGGTAATTAAAGATCAAGTTATGGTTCAAATAGATAGGGAAATGCATCAAATCACAGCAATGGTTGAATGAGATGTGCATGCAGTGATATGATCAAGATAAACATGGTTCTTGCTGCTCAATCAATCTCACCCTAATGCACAAAAGAATCTAAAAACAGGGCACTCAAGAAATCGCAAAAGATGGACAAGTTTTCAAAGTCAAATCAACAATGCAAGTGAAAAATGCAATCCTAAACAAGTCTAACAAATATGAATGCAAAAAGATGAAAATATTTTTGGATTTTTTGAAAATTTTATGATTTTTTTGGTTTTTCTATGCAAAAGAATGAAAAACTAAGAACAAAGAAAACAAGGTTAAATCATCTCTTGAACCCTCCCCCAAACTTAAATCACACAGTCCCTTGTGTGAGAAAAATTTAGTGAAAGATTCAAGAGGGCAAAACCAAGAAAAACAAGAACAAATGCAAGAAAATATGAAATGGTATATACAAGGGTTGGTGTTTGGATACCTCAGTGCCCCCCAAAGAACTGGGAGGCAAGGTCGTGGTCTGGAGATGGTAGACGGCCATCAGGAGCACTCCACTCGACTGGGTTGCCTCACTCGATCGAGCTTGTCTTGACTCGATCGAGTTGTGCCTCGAGTTAGCCACTCTTCTTCCTAAAACCTGCTCCTGTAAGACTTAGCCAAGAAAATCATAAAATAAAAGGATAAAGCATAAATATAAGATAGACATGGGAATTCCTCCCAAGTGAGCTTGTTTTAGGTCTCTTAGCTTGACCTTACCCCTTTTAGGCCGGGGTTGGATCTTCTAGAGGAGTGATGATCTCCTCTGTGGGGGTCATTCCTAGATATGGCTTGCATCTATGTCCATTCACTGTGAATTCCTTCCCCTCTTGATTGAGCAGAGTGAGGGATCCATAGGGTAAACTTCGTGAATCTTGAATGGTCCCGCCCACTTTGACCTTAGCTTCCCGGGAAACAACCTTAGCTTGGAGTTATACAAGAGCACACTGTCCCCAACCTTGAAGTCCTTAAGGCGAATCAGTTTGTCGTGGGCTGCCTTGGTTCTCATCTTATAGATCAGGAGTTCTCATAGGCATTCATTCTGATTTCCTCCAACTCAAACAAGTTCATTACCCTCTTCTCTTGTGCTGCCTTTATATCAAAGTTCAGCATCTTTACTGCCCATAAAGCCTTGTATTCGACCTCCACAGGTAAGTGGCAATCCTTTCCATACAGCAAAGTTGAAAGGAGACCTTCCAATGGGGGTTTTGTAAGCTGTTCTATAAGCCCAAAGTGCTCATCAAGCCTTGCTGCCCAATCCTTTCCTAGTGAAGCTCACAGTCTTCTCAAAATGGCCTTTATCTGTCTGTTGGAGACCTTCAACTTGCCCACTGGTTTGAGGGTGTAAGGTGTAGCGACCTTGTGCTTGACTCCATAACTCTTCATCAACTTCTCAAACACCTTGTTGATGAAATGGGAGCCTCCATCCGAAATAACAACCCTTGGGATGCCATATCTTGGAAAGATGATGGTTCTGAAAATTTGATAACAACCTTGGCATCACAGGTTGGGCAGGGGATGGCTTCAATCCATTTGGACACATAGTCAGCAACCAAAATGTAGTTGTGCCCGTTTGAGGAAGGCTTGAAAGGTCCCATGAAGTCTATTCCCCATACATCAAAGATCTCAACTTCTAGAATTGGGTTTAGTGGCATTTCATCTCTCTTGGTGATCCCTCCTTTCCTTTGGCATGGATCACACTTGGCGATGTAGCTTGCTGCATCTTAAACAAAGTAGGCCACCAAACCCAGATTGCAAACCTTAGTTGCTGTTTTGAATGTAGCAAAGTGACCTCCATAAGCTGACCCATGGCAATGCTCTAGAACTCCTTGCACATCCTCTTCAGCTATGCATCTCCTGTAAATGCTGTCTGGTCCTCTCTTGTACAAGTAAGGCTCATCCCAATAGTAATGCCTAGCATCCTTGAAGAATTTCTTCCTCTTGTAAGCATCAAAGCTACTAGGGACTTCTCCGGACACCATGAAGTTCACTATATCAGCATACCATGGCAAATTCTCATCACGCAGAGCCTTAACTTCTTCCAGCCTGACTTTCTCATCAAAACTCTCCTTCAAGATCATGATTGCCATAAGCTGTTCTTCAGGCATAGAATCATTGATGGGGATCATGTCTTCAACTCGCATCCTAGAGAGATGATCAGCAACTCCATTTTCTACTCCCTTTTTGTCCACAACTTCTATGTCAAACTCTTGAAGCAAAAGGATCCATCTGAGAAGTCTTGGCTTTGTATCTTTCTTAGCGAAGATGTGTCTAAGGGCAGCATGGTCAGTGTGCACAATCACCTTGGATCCAACTATATAGCTTCGAAACTTCTCAAAGGCAAAGACTATGGCAAGGAGCTCCTTCTCTGTGGTTGCATACTTGCACTGAGCATCATCCATAGTCTTGCTTGCATAGTAGATGACATTGAGTTTCTTGTCTATCTTTTGGCCAAGCACTGCTCCTACTGCATAGTCAGATGCATCACACATAATCTCAAATGGGTGATCCCAGTTTGGAGCTTGTACTATTGGCGCAGACACCAGAGCATCCTTCAGCAAGGTCCAAGACTTGTGGCATTCTTCATCAAACTCAAAATCTGTCTCCTTGCACAGAAGCCTTGTCAAGGGTCTTGCTATCTTTGAGAAATCCTTGATGAATCTTCTGTAGAACCCTGCATGACCCAGAAAACTCCTTATGTCCTTCACAGTCTTGGGAACAGGGAGCTGCAACATGACATCCACCTTAGCTCGATCGAGCTCGATCCCTTTCTCGGAAATCTTGTGTCCAAGCACAATCCCTCTCGAACCATGAAGTGGCACTTCTCCCAGTTGAGTACTAGATTGGTCTCCTCACACCTCTGCAACACCCTGCACAAGTTAGACAAACATGAGGAGAAGGATGCTCCATAGACTGAGAAATCGTCCATGAAGACTTCTACCATCTCCTCTATCAGATCTGAAAAAATGGAGGTCATGCACCTCTGCTGGAGCATTGCACAGCCCAAATGGCATCCTTCGATAAGCAAAGGTGCCATAAGGGCATGTGAAAGTGGTCTTCTCCTGATCATTAGGGTGGATCGGGATTTGGAAGAAACCACTGTAGCCATCAAGAAAACAATAAAAAGGGTGGTTTGCCAATCTTTCTAACATCTGATCAATGAAAGGGAGAGGGAAATGATCCTTTCTAGATGCTGAATTTAGCTTCCTATAGTCAATACACATGCGATGCCCCACTATTGTTCTAGTGGGAATCAGCTCCTCTTTGTCGTTTTTAATGACAGTGATCCCCCCTTTCTTTGGGACGCAATGAACTGGAGATATCCAAGTGCTATCACTGATGGGATAGATTATCCCAGCATCAAGCAACTTGAGTATCTCTTTCTTCACTACTTCCTTTAGATTGGGGTTCAATCTTCTCTGAGGTTCAATGCTTGACTTACTTTCATCCTCTAGATGAATCCTATGGATGCATAGGTCAGGGGAGATCCCCTTGATATCATCTAGAGTGTAACCTATTGCCTTTCTGTACTTTCCTCAATTCAACAAGCAAAGCACTCAACTGTTCAGGTTCCAAATCAGAGTTCACAATGACAGGGTAAGTTGAGTTTTCACCCAGAAATGCATACCTGAGGCCCTCAGGCAAAGGTTTGAGGTCGACTTTAGGTGCCTTGCTTTCAGTCCCAGCTCGATCGAGTTCGTTTGTTCGAGGTCGACTCGATCGAGTTCTTGATCGAGCTCACTGCCATGACTTCGCAAACTGGCCTGTCCAATCCCTCAATGCTCAGAATGTTTGGAACTGGTCTGAAGGTGTCAAGGAGCTTCTTGTACTCATCAGTTTCTGAGCTCACATATCCCTCTGAAGAATCCTTGGTCAAAGCAACTTGTAGGGATCCTCTGTTGATAACTCTTCTAAAGCTCATCTGCCAACTGATCCATTTCCTCAACATAAAAGAGCTGACCTTCTATAGTTGGTTTCCTCATTGTATCCTTGATATCAAACTTCATCTTAGGTCCTTTCCCAAGTTTAGCTCAATTGTTCCTTCACAGACATCTATCATTGCTCTTGCTGTAGCTAGGAATGGCCTTCCTAGAATCAATGGATCTGTTGGTTCCTCATCCATCTCAAGCACAATGAAGTCGGTGGGGATTTCTACATTCCCTATCCTCAAAGGCAGGTCTTCAAGCATCCCAGTTGGTAACCTTATCGATCTATCTGCCAAGACTAGTGAGATTCCGCAGGCTTGGTACTTGTGATATCCCAGTCTCTTTGCTACAGACAAAGGCATGAGGCTGACAGATGATCCTAGATCGCAGAGGCTGTTTTTGAAAGATAGGGGTCCCAACATGCAGGGCAAAGTGAAACTCCCCGGATCTTCCTTTTTGTCGGAGATGACCTTCCGCTGAATGATTGCACTGCACTCACGAGTCAACACTACCATCCCTTGTGCTTCCCTGGTTCTTTGCTGAACAGCATCCTTCAGAAATTTCTGATAAGGTGGAATGAGCATCAAGGCGTCGATGAAGGGCAACTTCAACTCAAGCTGTCTCATTAGTTCATCAAACTTGGCCTTGTGTGCTTCCAACAGTTGTTTCTTGAACCTTCCTGGAAAGGGCAGAGGGGGTTTGTATGGTGGTGGTCCTGCTGGAGTGTCTTTCTTCTTTGCAACAGGTTTAGCTGGTTGGCTGGAGCTTGCTTTGTCTCGTTCTCAGCTCGATCGAGCTCTGGTTTGTCTTGCAGTGTCTCAGTTTCTTCCAGCTCGATCGAGTTCTGGTTCAGGGTTTTGTTCCAGCTCGATCGAGTTCGGGTCGAGTTATCAGCATAGTCGACTAAATCCTCCCCTTCCTCGTCATCGATGTCCACAGCGATTTGGGGTGGGCTACCTCTACTTGGGAATTGCCGCCCACTTCTTAGTGTAACTGCTTGGGCATACTCTTGTGGTGAAGAGGATGATGCACTTGAAGACTCAATGATTTGGACTCTTGAAGTCAATGACTCTAGTTTAGAGTGTATCTCAACCAGCTTGTTGTTCATTTCCAGAGAACCTTTGGCTTGCCCTTGTAAAAGTTGTTGGAGCATTTCCTTCATATCCCAATCTTGAGTTGGTTGGGTATGAGTAGTCCTTGGTTGAAGCCTTGTGGAACATTGTTGTTGGTGCGGCCAGGGGGCTTGGATAATTGTTGTATCTCCTTGTTGAGGATTCCTATAGCTTCCTTGTCTATTTTGAATGTAGCAAACCTCTTGTGTTGTCTCCTCCCCTTCCTGGTCCTTGACTAGGTTTGTTCTGAGACATAGTTGACATGCTTGGCAGGGAATTGGGCTAGGATCAGTTTGTCCAACTTCGAGTTGAGTGCAAGCATGTCTTTTCTCATCTGAGCTCCAGCTCGATCGAGTGCGCGGTCGAGCTCCAGTCTGTACTTTCATAGTGCTCTCCATAGCATTCTGTTGATATGGCCATGTTCTCCACAAGTTGCCAGCCATCATCTACATCCTGGTTGAGGAAGTTCCCATTGCTAGCTGTGTCTAGCATCTCCCTATACCTAGGCAAGCATCCTCTATAAAGAGTGGAGAGTAGTGATTCATTGTTGAATCCATGGTGTGGGCACTGACTTGTGTAGCCTTTGAACCTCTCCCAAGCCTCTGCGAATGTCTCATTGTTTCGCTGGATGAAGCTGGATATCTCTCCTCTAAGCTTGGCTGTGCGACCGGTGGAGAAAAACTTAGCAAGAAAGGCCTTCTTGCATTCATCCCAAGTGGTGATTGTGCCATGGGGCAAGCTCTTCTCCCATTGGTGAGCTTTGTCAGCTAGAGACATAGGAAAGAGTCTCAGCTTGATGGCATCTTCAGAGACACCATTGATCTTTGTCAAATCACAAAGCCTATCAAACTCATCAAGGTGGTCAATGGGGTCTTCACTTGGCAATCCATGGAACATCTTGTTCTGACAAGGTTGATCATTCCCAGCTTGATCTCAAAGTTGTGGTTCTGCACTGGTGGTGGAACAATCCCTTGTCTCTGTTGGTGGCGGTTTGGAGCATCTCCTTGACCAATCGGTCGAGTTTGCCTAGCTCGACCGAGTCCATTCCCAAAGGGTTTCCATTCCCCTCTGGTACATCCATTGTATCAGCAACAAGCACCTCAGGTTCCTCTTGTACCCTCTGTGACCTCTGAACCCTCTTTCTACCCGTTGTAAGTCTAGCTCGACCAAGTCCTCAGTAGACCGACTCGATCGAGTTCGCATACACCTGCAAAAAGAGACAAAAACCCAGCAGTACAATAGAACAGGGGTGGTATAGCTTGATCGTCCAAGTGTGTTTGAAACTCAAATGCAACAAAAATATTCCCAAATCGGCAACGGCGCCAAATTGATGATAGGATTTGTGTGTGGATGTGAAAAGATATGAAATGAGATGGTGGAATGCAACAGTGGTATATGATGAGGTGGTAAGATGCAAACACAAACACAGTCAACAATTCCCTTTAACCATGATAGTGATGTAGTACAAAGGGTTATCAATCCAAAATGGGAAACTTGTCACTCTATGAGAATATGAAACAACCAGAAGTCAAGCAAGCAGTAAAGATTTGGTAACACTAACAACCTAAATGAAAAGAAATGCAATGCAAAAGTAAACAAAGCAGTAAGCAGCTCGACCAAGACTCGAGTCGAGTAGGAACAGAGTACCAGCTCGATCGAGTTTAGGGTCGAGTTGAGAAAACAGTAAAGGTGACGACTTTAACAAGCTAAGAGAGAATTAGGGTTCAAGACAGGGTTTTGCAATCAAAGGAATCTACACTTAATCAATCTAGCTCTTAAAACTCCTTGTATCAAGGCTTCTCTTGATATTGGGCTTCTCAATGCCTAGCCAACCCTTTCCCAAGGTGAAGGCTATCAACCAAGGAATGATCTCAGAAACAGGGGGTTAGCCAGTGAGAATCAAACCTTGGAGGCTATAGGATCATTGCCCAAACTAATCCATCCAACCCCTTAGACCTCTATTTCTAGAGCAAGAGATATTGGAGCTCTTAGTGGATCTTTTCCAGCGAATGCCATCACTTCGTGTGGGAGAATCGCCTAAGGACTTACAAGCCAGGGGTAGTGGTCATGTAGCCTTAAGATCTATCCAAAAGAGAGAGAATCTAGATTAAGACCATAAGCTAGAAGGATTAAGCATATGAAACCTCTAATCTATCCCATCTCAAACCCTAATGGGTAACTACTCACTACACATGAATGTAAACACAAGCAAATGCAATAAAAGAGACATCATAAGAAAGAGGAGATGAAATTAAACAACTTTTATTGAAATAAGCAAGTGCAAATACAAAGAGATTATCCAGGATCTAGGATTCAAGAAGCAAGAGCTTCAAGAACACAAAGATGGGATTAGAGCTCTAAAAAGTAAAAGACAATAAATTAAAAGAAACTAAAACAAAATAATCTAAAGCTTGGTGGTTTTTTCGTGGCTTAGAGCCTTTAAATACAAGAGGATTAGGTTTAGGGTCAAAGGAAAGTCAAGGGGGAAGCAACATTTTTCGGGTTTGACTGTTGACTTCTCAGCTCGATCGAGTTGAAGCTTGGCCGGTCGAGTTGAGGAACTCGACCGGTTGGTCGAGTAGACGGTCGAGCTGGTCTTCAAGATGGCTTCTCCCTTCTTCCTTTGCGTATCCAGTTGAGCTGCGTCCATGTGCCAAGTCCCTCCATGCTCCTTCGTCCCATATGCTCCAGAATGCTCCAAAAGACCTATTTCAAAGGACCAAACATGCATATGTATGCAAATGCAACCTAAAACTAACATGAATGCATAAGAAGAGAAAAGGAACAAGATATGATGCAAATGGATGCTAAAACTATGCAAAAGATGCATAAAAGATGTGCTAAAACTATGTAAAATGCAAGTACATCAGCTACACAAGTCAGTGCCCACACCATGGATTCAACAATGAATCTCTACTCTACTCTTTATAGAGGTTGCTTGGCAAGGTATAGAGAGATGTTGGACACAGCCAGCAATGGGAACTTCCTCAACCAGGATGTGGATGATGGCTGGCAGCTTGTGGAAACATTGCAAACTCAATGGAAGCTATGGAGAAGAGTATGATCGCACCAACGGAGCTCGACCCACCACTCGATCGAGTCGATGAGAAATTGAGAAAAGATGTTAAGGCATTGAATGAGAAGTTGGATAAGCTGATCTAGCTCAGTCCACAATGAAGAAAGTCAACTTTGTGTCTGCTGAAGAGATGGAACCAGTCCAAGAAGGGGAGGATACACAATTTGCTGAGGTGTGCTACATGAGCAATGGGCAAGGAGGTTACAACAAAGGATACTATAATTACAAGTCCAACCCAGCCATGTCATACCGAAACACTGATGTTGCTAACCCTCAGGACCAGGTCTATCCTCAACAACAAGCAGCTCGATCGAGTCAAGCCCCACAACATGGGTATGGTCAAAAGAACAACTACCAAGGACCCCAAGGGACTTTTCCTGGACAACAAATGACATACCACCAGGCTTTCCCCACCAACCACCCCAGCCTGCACCCACAAGAGAATGAGCTCAAAGCAATGCTAAACAACTACTTCAAGGGCAAGCTGATGGGTGTAGTGGACACAAGCAAGAAGCTAGCTGAAATAAACTCCAAGATCGAGAATCTCAACACAAGGGTTTACTCTCTGGAGAATCATGCTTCTTCTGTTGCTGCTGCTACAAAGCAAGGACAACTACCTGGTAAAGCTATTCAGAACCCCAAGGAACAGTGCAAGGTCATCTTCACTCAAGAAGGACTTGTTGAAGAAGAGGATCAAGAAAGGGTCATTGAAGAGTTTTGTTTACTGCTGAATGATGAAGAGATTGTTGCTGCTGAGGCTCCTGGAGTCCAGATTGATCAACCAGAAGTGCAGGCACCTACTGTGGCCATTCACACTTCACCAGTTGAGCTCGCACAACAAGCTCGATCGGCAGCTCGATCGAGTCGAACTCTAGCTCGATCGAGTCCGACCTCATCTGTCCCAAAGCCGATTTTGCTTGATCCTTACCAACCGGTTGACCCTTCCTCGTCTCGCCTACTTAGTCAAGGTCACAAGGAAGTGATTCACAAGTTCAGAAGAGATCTCAGTGGGATTGGAATTGAGTTGCCTCCTATGGATAGCATGAGTGAGGCATTTGATCAAATGCAAATGGTCAAGGATGTTATGGCCAACAGTGATAAAGTTTCAGAGGTCCTGAAGGAGTCTACTCATCAGTTCAACCTGCTTACTTCACCCACTTTCCTACCAAAGGTCAAGGATCAAGGGAAATTCACTCTCCCTTGCACACTTGGGCATCTTGAGCTTGACAATTGATATACCTCTATTTTACACTTTTTATACTGTTTTAGCATTGTTTTCTAATGGTTTTTGGCAGGTTTTCTATCTAAAAAGGTAGTTTTACTGTGTTTATAGTGTCTAGAGTCTAAACAGGTGAAATGATGCATTTTGGAGCAAAACCATAGGATTTGCACTTCAAGCCGCTCCATGCACAAGCACCAACTTTAAGAGGGCCCAGAAAAAGATCTACTCAATGGATTTCATCAAGACCAGTTCCCTGCGTGCTCTGATTGAGTTAACTTTCCAACGCAACTGGAACGGCCTAATTTGGATGAGTAGAAAAGGAGTTATAACCAAAAGAGTGAAGACTGTCCAGACGGCTCTATCGAGAATCAGCGCCCAACCGCGCAGTCCGGCTGGCCGAGAAACTATGTTTCCGCTCGGCCAAAGTCATATCCGTCCGTCTGAAGTCTCGGCCAAAGTTCCAAACCGACCGGCCGATCACGCATCACGACCCGGGAAACATCCCGCGGTCGGCCAGCCACAACTCCACGCCACGCCGCGCACGACCATGCCGCGCGAGCCGGGAACAAGCCTCGCGGCCGCGCAACCCTTCGCGTACCACGGCCGATGCATCCGTCCGAGCCGGGAAAAGTCCCACGTCCGGCCGACCGAAAATCATCCGGCCACGACCGTTCCGATCGCCACGACCCGACTGTCCGGCCGATCGTCCCGACCGACCGTCCCAACGCCGCGGTCGACCCGAAGCCCGTTTTGAAGCCCGATTTCATATTTTCAAGCCCGGCTTAACCCTAAGCCGCCTCAAAAGACCTAGCACTATATATATAGCTTTTTAGCCTCTTGTGAAAGAGAGCCGCCCTTGTATTTCGATTTCCTACTCTAAGTTTTATTGCAATCATGTTTTCTTCATCTCTATGTGTGTTTGCTTTGATCATGTCTGAGTAATCCACTAGTTAGGTTGCTAGGGTTACTATTCAATGAGTTGCTTGCATGATCTTTGATTTCAATGATTAGCTAGGGATTATATTAGAGTCTTTGTCTCGTCTTGTGCACTTAACTAATGCTGATTGCTTTACCGCGCATCTAGTAATCCGATCTTAGGTTGATTTGAGCCTCGACAGTGCTGTATCATTCGCCGGACATATTCTTTGACAAGCTAGGTTTCTTAGACTGCGAAAGTTGATCTACTATATCTAGTGAACTGTATCAGAACCTATTCATTCTAAAGCTTGATTTAATCACCTAGGGACATACCAAAAGTTTAGCGACTAGGTAGATTAACAAAGGAGCCGGAGCCTCGAAAGTGGAATGGTTTTATATTCGTGATCTGTGTTCTAGATGGTTCTTAATATCCCAATATCCCTAATCAATTAATCTATCATTGTTTCATTGATCATTGCTTGCTTCTCTGCGATAGCCCCTATGACCTAGCGCTTTTCCTTTATTGATTTACAACCTCGTTATACTTGCTAGTTCGGTTCACCATTACAACCTCAATCATACTTTTGTTTTAGCTTGATCCAAAATCCATAGTTTCAAAGTGTACTCAATAGCCAGTCCTTGTGTTCGATACCCATACTTCCGCGATCTGTGCACTTGCAGAGGTCTAGGAGTTTGGTAAAACCTGACTCCACATCAACAATGCCTTGGTAGATTCTGGAGCAAGCATCAATCTGATCTCTCTCTCAATGGCAGAAAAGCTAGGCATCGCTGGAGCTTTGCAGCGCCCTACTACTTCAATCATGTTTGGAGATGCAACTTCTAAGTCTCCTCTTGGTGTGTTCGAGAACTATCACTTGAAAATTGGAGAATGCATCATCCAAACTGATCTTACTGTCATGGAGATTGAAGAAGAGAAGGATCTACCTCTGCTATTGGGAACACCATTCCTTAGCACAGTTGGCGCTTTAATAGACTTTCACAAGCAAGAAGTGATTCTTCACAAGGTCAATAGTTTGTTGTCATATCGCTTGCACCCTAGAGGTTCAGACTTTTGTGCCACAATTGAAAGTACATCTCTCAGTTCTATGACTCATGAAGCTCCAAAGATTGTGAAGGATAGGGTTGACAAAGAACCAAGAGTTAGGAAGGATAAGATTGAGAAGGACAAAGGAGTTGATAGAGGACCAAGGATTGAGAAGCCACGCCTTGAGAAGGCCAGAGTTGAGAGACCACGAGCGGATAGGCTTTTTCAAGCACCTTGTGTACTTGATGAGAAAAGCCTCCAAGCTTTGTTTGGTGAGCCATTAGGAAGCGCTCAAAAAGAAAGGGAGGATGTGATATACCTCTATTTTACATGCTTTTTATATGGTTTTACTATGCTTTTCATAAGGTTTTTAATGGCTTTCTGATCTAAAAAGGTAGTTTTTATGTATTTATAGTACTTAGAGTCTAAACAGGTCAAAAGATGCATTTTGGAGCAAAACACAGGATTTGGACTTCAAGACCACTCCAGGACGTAGCATCAACGTCCTAGTTCATCAAATCCAGTTCGAGGCGATGCATACATGAGTTAGCTTTGCAATGCAACTGGAATCAATCAATTTGACCGAGTAGATTGGGAGATATCTCTATTTCCCTGAGACATATACCGAGGAGCTTTATCGGACTGCATCAGTACATCAGACGAGCAGCAGCGGCTTGGACCCTTAAACTCAATGGATTTCATAATGAAACTCGATACCAAGATAGCCAGATGAGTTAGTGTTCCAATGCCGTTGGAAGTATGCAATTTGGATGCGCCGTTTAGGAGATATCACGTTTGTACTGAAGACTGGTTAACAGCCGGCCGAACGCACTCGGCCGGACAGGAAGGGAATTGGCTTCGCTCGGCCTTCTCCAGGACCGATCCGCCGCACGACCGCACCATCCGACCCGGGAGGCAATGGACCACGATCGACCGAGATCATCACATCACGGCCGACCCCGACGGCGACCACATCCCTTGCACGGTCGACCCGATGTCCGCGAACAAGAAGCCCACTTATGCAGTTTTGACAATTCTCAGCCCAATTAACCTAAACCGACTTGTGAAGACCTAGGGCACTATAAATACTCTTTTTTAGCCTCTTTAGAAGAGAGAGCCGCATTAGTTTTAGAGAGTTTACATTGATTTCGTTTTAGAGCTTCATGGGAGAAGATCTCACCTTTGTAACACTATAGAGGAGATTTCTAAACCCTTTTACTTTCTATCAAGTTTTATTATGAATTCTTCTTCATCTCTATGCTTGATCTCTGTTACTATGTTTGAGTAATCTCCTTGTTGGGTTTAAGAGTTTTCAAAGGGTTTTCATGGATTGATTGTTAGGTTGCTAGATTAGGGTTTTATCATTAGTTCTTCATCTAAGTTTGTGTTTATTGCTTGTAGCTTGATTGACCGTCTAAGCTACTGTTCTTAAGTAGATTTACTTCTGACCGCTTGTTAAATCTCTTGAATCAACTTAGATGAGCAAGGCATAGTAACCTACGGAAGTAGAATTGCAAGGCTTTGTGAACTAGACCTACGGAAGTAGAGCTATCGAATTTGAACTGTTCTTACATGCTTAACCTCTTGATTACCTGCGGAAGTTGTGTGATTTAGGTTGTTAGACATAGTAATTGGCACTGCGGGAGTAGGTCAATTATACTTATTGATTCGAGTTCTAGAACAAACTATTGATTTCCCTATCTATTTGCTTGATCCAATCTATGAAACCTTGCGAATTCTCTAATGCCCAATGCTTTCTTCTATTGCTTTCACCTTATTTACTTTGTTTTGCTTTGAAACCGTGACAACAACAAACCTCCATACTTGAGTCTTAGCTTGATTCGAATCTCATAAACTCATAGTGTAAACTTATCTGGTCCTTGTGTTCGATAACCCGTTACTACATCTGACCTGTGCACTTGCAGAATCAGGGATAGGAATAGGTAAAACCTGATCCCGCATCAAGTTTTTGGCGCCGTTGCCGGGGACCAATACAGTTGCCTTTGAGTTTCGGATTAGAATCTAGTCTAGGATAGCTTTAATTTTCGTTTTTATTTTTGTTTCTTGTTTTTCTTGGTTTTTGTTTTTATTATTTTGTTACTTTTCTCTATCTCTTTGTGTTTCAGGTTAGCTTGAGGAAGAGATAGACCTCTTGAAGAAGATATCACAATGGATCCTCAAAACCGCACCATTGGAGAGTTTGACTCACTAGACATCTTTTTCACAAACCGCCAACCTATATGCCCTTCACGACCTACTGGAGAGTTCAAGATAAGCTCTAAACTCATTGCTTTGGTGGAGCAGCATCAGTTTCGTGGCCTAGAGGAAGAGCAGCCCATTGATCATATTGAGAAGTTTGAAGAAATCTGCGCTACAAGGAGATGTAGTGGAGTTTCTGAGGATTACTTGAAGTGTACTTTATTCTCTTTCTCTTTGGTTGAGAAGGCATACAAATGGATGAGGGCTCTTCCAGCAGGATCAATCACTACTTGGGATGAGTACAAGAGAGCTTTCTTGAAGAATTTCTACCCAAAAGAGAGATTAAAATGGATGAGAAGAAGAATCTCAGAATTTCGACATGAGGCACATGAATCATTCTTTGAGGCTGTTTCACGGTTCAAGGAGTACAAGAGAGAGTGCCCTCACCATGGTTTTACAGAGATTGCTTTGCTAAACTTCTTCTATCAAGGAGTTGATGAGAAATTCAAGATGGCACTCAACATCGCAAGTCAAGGGGACTTCATGACTAATACAGTTGCTCAAGCCAATACTCTCATTGATAACTTGGCTGCAAGCAACAAATATTCTTGCTTGGATTATGAGAAAAACGTGGAGGACATCAAGCCAAAGTTCAGACTTTTCAGAAATCCTTGAGCTGAAATCAATGGTTGCTCAATTTCTCAAGAACCAGCAAAGGGATGCATACCAATGTGAGAACGTGGGAGCTTCTCATGGTTAAGGATAAAGAGGAGTGTAATGGTGATAACACTCACAAGCAGCAAGGAGAAGTCAACTACATTGATGCTAGAGAGGAAAGACTCGAAGCTATGATGCAACAGCTAATGGAAAATCAACAACATATGATGGAAAGACAAGAGCAAAACGCCCAAGAGATTGAAAACCTTGAGTAAAATGGCGAACGACTATGGTCATCTCAACAGAAAAGATGATGAGATATTTGCAAAGCTCTTTGATCTAACCAATCATGTGAAGATGCTTGAGGTACAAGTTGCTCAAACTGCAGAAGGTATGAAGAGGCAAGAGGGTTTTCTTCCAAGTAAGACTGAGTTAAATCCAAGAGTTTGCAAAGTTATCACAACTCAGAACAAGGACGTGGTCTCACCAGCCCCTAGAGATCATTCAACCCTCAAAAACCCATTGGAATGGCCTGAAGATGATGAGCCAATCTACAAGGGACCTCATCAAAGAAAGCTGCATAAGATGGAAGATCCAGGGCAATTTGTTTTCCCATGCACAATCAATGGTATGGATTTTATTGATTCCCTCTGCGATACAGGAGCTAATGTGAATGTTATGTCTAAGCTTATAGCAGATGAGCTTGGAATAGTTGACATTAAAGACTCTCAAACATCACTGAAGTTTGGAAACGCCTCTACTATTACCCCATATGGCTTTGCTCAAGATATATTGGTACAAGTGGGAGGTTGTCTTGTTCCTACAGATTTTCATATTCTAGAGATGAATGAGGAACCCCTAACGCCATTGGTTTTTGGTAGTTCCTTCCTTGCAACAGTTGGAGCTAATGTGGACTATCCAAACCAAAGAGTTTCTTTCTCTAGAGTAAAGAAAAGAGTCTTTTATCCAGCAGTCCCTACCAAGAGCTCTTATTGTATAACCATTAGGAATGGCAGCAGATTGAGTTTAGACCATGGAGAAGAGAAGGAGAAGCCTCAAAACGTTTCCAAGCAAGCTCTTTACATAAGATCTTATGAAGTTATCAAATCAGTGAACTCTGATCATGAAAGTTGCTTAAGAGACAAGGTTTCGACTGTGATGCCTAAAGAGTGTGATGCAGATAGTTCTAAGGAAGTTTTCCACCTTGAGAGACGTCCTAGAGCACCTCCAAAACCAGCACCATCCGACACTCCTTGGTTTAGATACATTGCCAACTATCTTGCTGCTGATCATCCACCACCCCAATTCTTTGGCTACAAGAAGAAGAAATTCTTACGTGATGTTAGAAGGTACTTTTGGGACGAACCTTATCTTTATAAACATTGTTCTGATGGTATGTTTAGAAGATGTATTCCAGAAGAAGAAGTCCCAGGAGTTCTCTTTGCTTGTCATGGATCTGACTATGCAGGACATTTTGCTACTAACAAGACTGTTGCTAAGATCTTGCAAGCTGGTTTTTGGTGGCCCACCATGTTTAAGGACGCCCATGACTTCATCTCTAAGTGTGATGCTTGCCAGAGACAAGGAAACATCAGCAAAAGGAATGAGATGCCACAAAACTTCATCCAAGAAGTGGAAGTTTTTGATGTTTGGGGAATAGACTTCATGGGTCCTTTTCCTTCTTCTTATGGGAACAAGTACATCCTTGTTGCTGTTGACTATGTGTCTAAGTGGGTAGAAGCCATAGCCAGCCCTACAAACGACTCCAAGGTGGTGATAAAGTTATTCAAGTCGATCATCTTTCCAAGATTTGGTATCCCAAGAGTTGTGATTAGTGATGGAGGATCTCATTTCATCAACAAGGTCTTTGAAAGTCTACTGAAGAAAAATGGAGTGAGACACAAGGTTGCTACTCCTTATCACCCTCAGACAAGTGGGCAAGTAGAGATTTCTAACAGAGAAATCAAGAGGATCTTAGAGAAGACAGTGGGAATGACAAGAAAGGATTGGTCAGTAAAGCTTGATGATGCTCTTTGGGCATATAGAACTGCATTCAAAACCCCACTTGGAACAACTCCTTTTCACCTTGTCTATGGAAAGCTTGCCATCTTCCTGTTGAGATTGAGTATAAGGCGGAATGGGCAGTAAAGAAGCTAAACTACGACATCAAGACAGCAAAGGAGAGGCGCTTGATTCAGTTGAATGAGTTGGATGAAATTCGTCATAATGCCTATGAGAATTCTAGGATCTACAAGGAAAGAACAAAAGCATATCATGACAAGAAGATAGTCCCCAAGACGTTCTCTCCCAATGACCAGGTTCTCCTTTTCAACTCACGCCTGAAACTCTTTCCCGGTAAGCTTAGATCGCGATGGTCCGGACCTTTTAAGATAAAAGAAGTGAAACCATATGGCGCTGTTGTACTATGGAACCGTTCTGGAGGTGATTTCACTGTTAATGGACAAAGACTCAAGCCATATCTCGCAGACATTGATGAGGATGAGAGAGAAACATTTCCTTTAGTCGATGCCCCACTCGCCTAAGAAGAGCCATAACGTCAAGCTAATGACATTAAACAAGCGCTGTATGGGAGGCAACCCATAAGGTGTTTTCTTTTCCCTTTTTACTTTTTGTTTTAGTTTAATGTTTTTGTTTTGTTTTTGAAGTTTTGAATACAGAGATTTGAGAATCTAGCATGAAATTTGAGAAGAAACCTAGAAAAATGAAGAAAGGAGCAATCATATGGCCGGGCCGATTTTGATGACTGACCGGAACGCATCTATGGTCAGCCGTGTTCCCTCTGGACCTCTCTCCTACAACCCTACATCCCATCCCACCTATCCTATTCCACAATCCATCCCATCCCACCATCCATCACATCCCACTTATCTTAAAGGAGGCTTCAAAGGAGGTTCATACCCAATCACAAGGAACAAGGCGGGAAACACCTGGAAATGATAAAGAAGGGTTAGAAAATCACTTTGGTCGAAGAAAATCTCAATTGGCCCGAGTGGATTTGAAGATATTCTAACCGGCCTATTTCTCTCGGCCATGGAGGATACAAAGAGAACAATCATCAGCCATCTCCCAAACTTCACAGGCGACCATAAAATCGAATTTTGGTCGGCAAATACAAACGATGGACGGTGAAATGTTCACGGTTCAGGAGATAGACCAAGAGCTACATCCGGCCGATCTAAGTCTAGAAAATGGCCGACAAAACCAAATCACGGCATAGGCGCGCCCACCGGCTGGAAAAAACTTCATGGAGCTTCATTAACACACTTCCAAAGGAAGATTACAAAACGAACCAGTCAATCTCAAGGATGGCCAAGAAACCTCTCCCTAGAGCCGATTGGACCACTTTGTGAAGGATCTCTCAAACCGCTCGTTCGAATGGTCTCCAACCTCACCAATGGGCATCAACTATCAGGTTGGTCAATGAAATTGCAATATGGGTCGAGGAATTCTTTATGTTTTGTTCTGTGGTTCATAGCATACCCTGTCGGACGACCGAAATGGACCATACTCGGCCAAATCGCAAACCGGAGTGAACCAGGCCCTGAAATTCAATACTCACCGACCAATATCACATGAGGAAGTGTCCATTCACCAACCGGCCCTGATCTTGATGACCTAAGGCTTATCTCAACCTATCAAAGGAGAAGGACATCCACATATCACCAATGGGTCGTTTCTTCATGGACTTAAGGTCTAATCAGGTTATATCTTTATTCTCATTCACTCACACATTATTACCTCTTTCTTTTTCCTCCCTTAATCGGATTTGCTTTCACCGGGACGGTGCAAGTTAAGTCTGGGGGGATTGTTGGTACTAATGCGTTTGTTCATGCCTTGTCTTTATCTTATATCTTTTTCTCTTTTCAACCTTTTTCAAAACTTCTGTTTTATTGAGTCAAAATAAGTTAGGAAGCTATGATCTATCCTAGGAGCTTACCTTATCACACCAAAGCTCTTGTGATCACAAAGGCGAATACCGACGCCGAACAATGCCTAACGGAACCTCTGAGGGTGGATCGACCTACTGATTTGGCAATATTTCTAAGGTACCCACGCAATCTAGAGTTAACTCCACAACTTAATGAACCTTTAATTTTCTTGTCAAGGGGCTTGAGATACATATGAGCCGACTCCTCATTCAGGTCTAGTTGAGACATGTCAATAAAGAAACAGTCCATCCTCTCTCTTATCTGCAAAAAAAATCAAAAGCTTTATAGCACAAGGAAAACAAGTAAGCATGAGGAATGCATACTTCTGTACCTTCATGTCTTATGGAATACCTTATCAAACAAGGAGGAAGCTTAAGCCAATCCATGTGTCCCAGTAAGAGAAATCTTAAGGGAAGGAGGATCGATAGAAAAAATAAAATGATACCCTAGAAAAGTAGGGAAAAATTGATCCTTCAATGTTAAGAGAGAAGGAGAGAGGTTTGGTACTGAATGTGCTAAAAAGACTGTCTTGGCAAACACTTGGATGGGTAAGAATCAATGCTCTGTGATCAATACTCCCTTGATAAAGACCACACGTTTTAAATACTGCAAGGAGTTAGCAATAGAGAGTTTGGAATACTGGATGAGATTTGTTGGGTCCGGTATGGTTCGCTAAGCTCAAGGTCAGTACGGGAAAGCTAATTTCAAACTTGGTTTTGCTCCAAATGAAAGCAGAGCAATGGTAGATACAATTTCTAAAGGATAAGTGAGTTTCCATGTTTTCAAAACCTCTTCACTAGTTTGGATTCGATTTGCTTGGGGACAAGCAAAGATCTAAGTCTGGGGGAGTTGATATACCTCTATTTTACATGCTTTTTATATGGTTTTACTATGCTTTTCATAAGGTTTTTAATGGCTTTCTGATCTAAAAAGGTAGTTTTTATGTATTTATAGTACTTAGAGTCTAAACAGGTCAAAAGATGCATTTTGGAGCAAAACACAGGATTTGGACTTCAAGACCACTCCAAGACGTAGCATCAACTTAAGAAGGGCCTTAAAAACATTCTACTCAATGGACTTCATCAAATCCAGTTCGAGGCGATGCATACATGAGTTAGCTTTGCAATGCAACTGGAATCAATCAATTTGACCGAGTAGATTGGGAGATATCTCTATTTCCCTGAGACATATACCGAGGAGCTTTATCGGACTGCATCAGTACATCAGACGAGCAGCAGCGGCTTGGACCCTTAAACTCAATGGATTTCAATGAAACTCGATACCAAGATAGCCAGATGAGTTAGTGTTCCAATGCCGTTGGAAGTATGCAATTTGGATGCGCCGTTTAGGAGATATCACGTTTGTACTGAAGACTGGTTAACAGCCGGCCGAACGCACTCGGCCGGACAGGAAGGGAATTGGCTTCGCTCGGCCTTCTCCAGGACCGATCCGGCCGCACGACCGCACCGTCCGAGCCCGGGAGGCAATGGACCACGATCGACCGAGAACATCACATCACGGCCGACCCCGACGGCCGACCACATCCCTTGCACGGTCGACCCGATGTCCGCGAACAAGAAGCCCACTTATGCAGTTTTGACAATTCTCAGCCCAATTAACCTAAACCGACTTGTGAAGACCTAGGGCACTATAAATACTCTTTTTTAGCCTCTTTAGAGGAGAGGGCCGCATTAGTTTTAGAGAGTTTACATTGATTTCGTTTTAGAGCTTCATGGGAGAAGATATCACCTTTGTAACACTATAGAGGAGATTTCTAAACCCTTTTACTTTCTATCAAATTTTATTATGAATTCTTCTTCATCTCAATGCTTGATCTCTGTTACTATGTTTGAGTAATCTCCTTGTTGGGTTTAAGAGTTTTCAAAGGGTTTTCATGGATTGATTGTTAGGTTGCTAGATTAGGGTTTTATCATTAAAGTTCTTCATCTAAGTTTGTGTTTATTGCTTGTAGCTTGATTGACCGTCTAAGCTAATGCTCTTAGGTAGATTTACATTCTGACTGCTTGATAAATCTCTTGAATCAACTTAGATGAGCAAGGCATAGTAACCTATGGAAGTAGAATTGCAAAGCTTTGTGAACTAGACCTACGGAAGTAGAGCTATCGAATTTGAACTGTTCTTACATGCTTAACCTCTTGATTACCTGCAGAAGTTGTGTGATTTAGGTTGTTAGACATAGTAATTGGCACTGCGGGAGTAGGTCAATTATACTTATTGATTCGAGTTCTAGAACAAACTATTGATTTCCCTATCTATTTGCTTGATCCAATCTATGAAACCTTGCGAATCCTCTAATGCCCAATGCTTTCTTCTATTGCTTTCACCTTATTTACTTGTTTTGCTTTGAAACCGTGACAACAACAAACCTCCATACTTGAGTCTTAGCTTGATTCGAATCTCATAAACTCATAGTGTAAACTTATCTGGTCCTTGTGTTCGATAACCCGTTACTACATCTGACCTGTGCACTTGCAGAATCAGGGATAGGAATAGGTAAAACCTGATCCCGCATCATGATGCAGCCTCAAAGGCACTTGTGGGAGAGAAAAGAAAGAACCCATCAGCTCAGGTTTCCTCAACCAAGCCATCTCAGCTCACAATGACTTTGTTCCCCACCAAGTTTGAAAATGGGAAGATTGAGTACAAGATAAGGTACAAGGGGAGATCAAGGCCATTCTCTAGAGCCAAGGCCTTGGTGACTTCAGAACAGTCCAGGGACCCAACCAAGCTAAAGGAGCTTCTGTCTCAAGTCCTCACTATCACCCTTGATGGTGGGACTAGCTCAACCAATGCCTAAGAGGTAAAGGTCAAGCTATGGGACCTTAAACAAGCTCACTTGGGAGGAAGTCCCATGTTTATCCTTGTACATATTCTATTATGCAATTTCTATCTATTTTGTGTCTTTAACCTTTCAATAAGTTAAGTTTAGGTGACAAAGGAGCCAGCTCGACCGACAGCTCGATCGAGCTAGAAACAGGGCAACTCGATCGAGTTCCACAACTCGACCGAGGTAAGTTTTTGAATTCAAATTTCTAACCGTTTTCTTGGTCAAGGGAGTGGGTCCCACAAGTTAATTTTGGTCCCCCACTTCCTGAAATTGATCAGAAAATCCCTTGCCTTTTGTCCCCTCTTTATTTCACCTTTTAATCTCAACCACACATCTCAAACACTCCCTCTTCCCCATAACTCGATCGAACCCACTTCTCCTCTCTCCCACATCTAAAATTTCTGAAAATCATCCATCTCTCTCTTCACCACAAGAAAAATCGAATTTTCTCCTCTCTTAAGTTTTTGCGATTTCATTGTTCTCATCTTGTTTGCTTTAGTTCTAGCTACTGTGATTCTCCATCATCCAAGCAAGGTATGAACCCTAAACCCTTGAATCCTCATCTCGATTCCTTATTGCTTTTTCTCTTTGATTTTTGATTGCATGTGTCCCTTGTGGACTTGTTCTTGAGTAATTGCTTTCTTTTCTCCTGTTTATATAATCTTGTGAATTTGCCTCACCTCACCTCTGTTTTGCCATTAAACTTGTTGCATGTGCTTGAAATCCTTGAATTTGAGTTTGGTATTGGTTAAGATGCTTTGGTTTTCACTAGAATTGCTTATTGTTCCAAGTTCTTGATGTTCTTGGTTCGATTTGATTGTTAAGCATCCTTTCCAGCTCTTATTGTTTGATTAGGTTCGGTTATACTCTGTTTTCACTTAGCTCGATCGAGTTTGTCACTCGAGTTTTTTGACTCGATCGAGCTGAGTGTCGAGTTGACCGAACCAACGATTACAACTCTAATTCCTTGAGTTTTTGATGCATTTCAGGAACCCAACTTCAAGAAGCAACAGTTTAAGATGTTGAGAGGTGAAGGAAGCAAGGCAGCGTTCACAAAGGAGGAGATAACAAGAGGAGCAAGGAGAATGCAAAGACACTAACCAAGGAAGATGAGGAAGAGATTGAGAGGTTGAGGGAAGAGAGAAGGACCAAGAGGAGGAATGACCCAATCAGCAGTGAGAGTGAATTGGGAGAATTCGAGATTGGTGTGAACATTGGAAGGGGAGAGAGTGATGACTCTTCACAAGAGGAAGGAGAAGAGGTCAATCAAGAGATTGAGGAAGTGAGCATGAGAGCAATGAGAATGTGCCCATGGAGGAGGAGGAGTCAGAGGAAGAAGAGGATGAGCTCCCCATGTACCAAGAGCACTATGATGCTCTCTTCTCCATGGACTTTGTGGAGACCAAGTACCCACATGATGACACAATGAGGCTCTTGGGATCTTTGAGGATGTGGAGCTAGTCCTCAAGAACATGCGCTTGGCCAAGTTCTTCTCTTACCGCTTGGAGTCATACAAGGAGCTCACTTGTGAGTTTTTGGCGTCAATGAGGTTCCACAAGTAAGCAGCTCGATCGAGCTGAGTTGGATCAAGGTTGGGGATGGATCACGTTCTTGGCAAGGGAGAAAGGAAGGTGATTACCTTCAGGCAGTTGGAGATCCTATTGGTTTCACTTATGGAGAGGAACCCATTGGGATATCAAGGAGGATGAGCTACAAAGAGTATGGGCTACAATCGCTGAGAGGTACTCTTCTTCAAGGTCAAAGGCTGCTCATCAGGAGCCCTGTGCTAGATATGTCCACAAGGCTCTTGCCAACACCTTCTTTGCAAGGAAAGCCACTGGGACAATAAATGAAGGAGAAGTGAAGCTCCTTGACATGGGAATCAAGCCCATCATCTCACGCACCAAGGATGGGAAGAAGATCAGAGGAGATAGAATCCATGCAGGGAATCTCATGCCTCTCTTGACCAGCTACTCTCCTACAAGACAACGCTTACAACACTCGGTTTCAAACGGGAAGGAAGCTTAGTGTTGGAGGAGTCATCACGCCAATCCTTCTGTGCAGCTGGAGTCCATTTGGACAAGAGAAGGTCTACTCCAGCAGGATGGATGGACATTAAGTTTTGCAAGACCAACCTCCTCATTGAACACAAGGAGTTGGATGGGAGGTTCCAATTCAAGTTCACACATCCATTGGCTGGCCCTTCCAAGCTTCTTCTGCCCAACCCTGAGCTCACCACGGTCTAGGAGGTACAACATTGACTTCAGACCCCCTGTGTACACATTAGTTGGGCATGAAGAGGATTTGCGAGAAGAGGAGCCTGAACTCGATCGAGCTGAGGATCGAGTTGAGGACAAGCTCAGTGAATGCGGATTTGGGTGAGCCTGAGTGCTATTATTTTGAGGAGTATGAGGCTCCAAGGATGAACCCCTCTGTTGTGGCTGCCCACAAGAGGATTGGACTTCTCCAAAGGTTCAACAAGTGGCAAGGGAAAGCCATGGAAAGATGCAAAAGTCCATGGACAAGATGGTGAGCAAGATCAAGAGTTTGGAGAAGAAGGTTTCTGGTTCTTCAAGCAAGAAGAAGCACCCATGCCCACTTTCCCTAGGAGTAGATCACTCCTCACCACCCAAGGAGGACTCCCTGCCCAAGAGCCTCACAGAGCCTCTTCATTCGAGCCAAGGGAAGGAGAAGACAACACGCAGAGAAGGAGGAAGAGTTCCAAGGCCAGACGCTCCAACTCGATCGAGTGAACTCGATCGAGCTGAGGGTCGAGTTGACCTGGAGGAGCCCCTGTTTGAGAACCCTGGATTCGAGTACGATCCAACGCCCTACCAGGACTTCCTCAGAGCCACTGGACCCTACAACCGTTCGAGCGAGCACAGCTCCACCAAGGCCAAGGAAGCCACACCACTTCGAGATGAAGAAGGAAGAAGAGAGCAAGCTCGATCGAGTGCCGAACCCAGTCGAGTGGAGCGTCTCCTGATGGCCGTCTCCCATCTCCAGACCACGACCTTGCCTCCCAGTTCTTTGGGGGGCACTGAGGTATCAAACACCAACCCTTGTATATACCATTTCATATTTTCTTGCATTTGTTTTTTTTTCTTGGTTTTGCCCTCTTGAATCTTTCACTAAATTTCTCTCACACAAGGGACTGTGTGATTTAAGTTTGGGGGAGGGTTCAAGAGATGATTTAACCTTGTTTTCTTTGTTCTTAGTTTTTCATTCATCTTTTGCATAGAAAAACCAAAAAAATCATAAAATTTTCAAAAAATCCAAAAATATTTTCATCTTTTTGCATTCATATTTGTTAGACTTGTTTAGGATTGCATTTTTCACTTGCATTGTTGATTTGACTTTGAAAACTTGTTCATCTTTTGCGATTTCTTGAGTGCCCTGTTTTTAGATTCTTTTGTGCATTAGGGTGAGATTGATTGAGCAGCAAGAACCATGTTTATCTTGATCATATCACTGCATGCACATCTCATTCAACCATTGCTGTGATTTGATGCATTTCCCTATTATTGAACCATAACTTGATCTTTAATTACCAATGCTTGCATTTGATTTCAACTCATGGCTACCACATACATATCTGGACATTCTTTACCTATTTTCATATCCCTTTTGCTTGTCCAGATAGCTGATCTCCATCTTTGAGACAGTTACCACACCTTAAACCTAAGCCTTTTCATTTCAAACCCCATATTATCTCTTGTGCGAATGTGAGAACCTTTCTTGGCTTTGCTTAGCATAAGGTGTTGTGTTTAAACCGGCAGGGGCAGTAGTTCTAGTTGTCTAGTTCTCTTGGGATTGTTTTCAGGCTAAGTTTGGGGGTGCCAACTCGAGCTCGATCGAGTTGGGTGTAAAAACCAGAAAAGTGGTAAAAGTTGGGAAAATCCAAAGGAAAAAGAGTTTAGTTAAGTCCAGGGAGTTGGCAAAAAGGGTCTAGTAAAGGTTTGGGAAGTTAAAAAAGGAAGTAAAAAGGGTTCTAAGTAGAATGAAAAGAAGGCAAAGCCTCAAGTGTCAAAAAGGAAAGAAAAGTTCCCTAAGTGTTTAGAAAATCCCAAACCGCTAGATGTTACCTCAAGAAGCCTCTCCCTAGGAAGTTCTTAAAAGAAAAGTGAGCAAAGCTCCTCAGTTTCAAAGGCGAAATGCCAAAAAGGGTAGTTAGGATTTTGTTCTAAAAAGCTCTAAGTGTTGAACTCGATCGAGTTAGGATTAG